TTGGGAGGTCAATGTTAAAGCTTTGCACTTACCGCTCACCATATCAATCAGCCAAGTCGAACCAGAGGCCACGATGGCAAGGAAGTTAGCGCCACTCGCTGGTGCTGAAACGTTGGATATTACCATCATTGCTGTTCAATTTTTTAAAATAAGTTTTTAGTGTGGACTATTCTTGAAATAAATTTTCCCAAAGGGCCAAACTGTCAAAATTTTCGGAGCTCACAAAGTCGCAACTCACAAGTGAAAAAGGTCACCCCGCATGCAGCCGTGGCCCCAATCGATCGATCGATTCTGCGATGGGAGGAAAGAGAGGAAATGGGCGAAAAGGGAAGCCTTGGGATCAGAGGAGGGCATCGTCCTCTAGCGCCCACTCACCCCGGTGACTCGGTGAGTGCGTGGCTCTGCCTCGCCTTTTTCTGCAACAAGTGCGTGCCCAGCCGTTGCTTCATTGCTCGCTCGCTCGCTCGCTATACCAAAGTGTGTAGTATAGTGGAGTACCTAGCCAGCAGCTGCTCGACTTGCTCGGCTAAAGTTTCGGCGAAAGAGAAAAAGGGGGGAGATGCCGAGATCGTAGGCGGAATACGTAGGGGGGAGAGGTCACGGGACACGGGAGAGGCCGGCCGCGCGTGACGATGTGGGTTGTGGTGCGTTGGCCTCACGCGGCGCGGATCGGAATCGAGATCGCTCGGCCGGCGCGATCCCCACACTCTGCGTGTACGTTGTGAGTTTGTGACCCCCGGGCGCACTGCGCGCGCGTACGCGCCACGCCCCGGCACAGCATGGGACGAGGTGACGCGCGCGCGCGCGCATGCGTGCTCGTGCTGTGTACTGTGTGGCTGTGGCTGTGGGAGTGTGGGCAACGGAGAAGCTGTCCTGTGTGGTTGCGGTTGTGGTTGTGGGTGTTCGCGTCGTCACGGCGTCACGTACGTACGTACGTACGTGTGGTCGATCGGATGGGGGCGAGCTGCCTCGATCTGGTCGTCCCACGTCGGAGCCCGGAACCCCACGTGCTGCGTTGCATCGCGACGAGTGGCCCACCGACCGATCAGGACATCTGGTTAATTAGTGCTAGAGCTTCGATACAAACAGGTTACAGGTTGACGAGTGTGCAAACAGAGCAGCTCGTACGGCAACACAAGTGTGTGAGACTCTGACTGTGACTGACCGTGAGAAAGTGCAACGACAGGGACTACTACTCCCACCATCCTATATACTACCTTCGTCCCAGAATAAGTGTAGCCGTGAATATCCGTGCCCAACATTTGACCGTCCGTCTTATTAAAAAAATTGTGAAAAAATTGAAAATATTTAGTCATACATAAAGTACTATTCATGTTTTATCATCTAATAGCAGTAAAAATACCAATCATAAAAAAAATTTAAATAAGACAAACGGTCAAACGTTGAACGTGAATAGTGCAAAACTGCACTTATTTTGGGACGGAGAGAGTAATACAAGAGATAATGGGTAAATGTGACACATCCTAATACAATAAATTTGGACAGTTATACTAATATGTGTCACATCCTAATACAATAAATCTGAACACTTATACTAATATGTGTCACATCTACCCAAAATTCCTTGTATTATAGGACGGAGGGAGTATATTTTACTACCAGTACCAATTTACTGTAGTATAAGTTATTGGACACGCATGCACACAGAGTACATACACATGGTTTTAGCTATAGGATACCGCATGAACTCACTCTTGAGGGAAAACACCCTATAAACGTGATTATTTGCTAATGGATACAACGCCTATTAAAATATTAATTTTCAGTTGAAAATGAGCGATAAATAGCGTGAAAGGTCAAGAAAAAAAAACAAAAAAAAAACCTAACTTCACTTCTCATATTCTTCTTCATCCTTATTTCTCATCTTCTCCCAGTCTCACGCTGACAACTACGATAGTGCTCAGATCACCGAATTTCGGAACGACGATCGGGCCAGGCTGGCGACGCTGGAGTCGGACAGGATATGCGGCACCTTGAGGCGACACGGCCTGCCGCGGGGAGCTCTCACTGCCACGGGAGGAGGCGGCAGCTGCTACTGTTGCTGTGACTGTGAGGGCAGTGGCAGCGCCGGGTGGTGCTTGGGGAGAGGCGGCGGCAACGAGGACGACGTCATGGACAACAGAGACTGCGGGGGGAGGGGGGAGAGGGCATGGTGTGGAGCACCGGCACAGAGTGCTGGGACACGGCGAGCGACGGGTGGCCCTGCGTGGAGCGGGAGAGCACGGCGGCAGTGAGCACGGAAGGAGTGGAGTTAGTCGGCGTGGGCCGAGGCGAGCTGTTGCTGCTATGCCACCATGTCCTTCTTGTGTCGCTACCGCTCCATGCACCGTGTCCTCTAACTCGACCTTGGATGCCGTGCACCTTGTCGCCCCTCGCTAATCGATGTCGCTGCCGCCAACTCCGGGCCATGCACTACATGCTACCGTTGGTGCTTCCCACATCCTCCTCCCATGCCTCACCTGTCCTCCGCCGCAACTGCCACTGCCGATGTCATCGCTTCGGGCGTGAACGTCGTCGCGCAATGTCCACGCACTGCCGCCGTCCTGACCGTCACCGTTCCTCCGTGCACCCCTATCATCACCGCACACTCTGCCTACTGGTCGCGTCACCGCTCGCGGATCGCAATCCTCACTAAAGAAGAGAGAAAGGAGGAAATAGAGGATGAGATAAGGAAGAAAAGGGAATGAGGAAGATAAAGGAGGGACGATTTGATCACTCCGCATAAAATTGAACCCCCTATCTCCTTGTCAGCACGAATATATTATTTTAGTGGGCGCGATATCCGCTGATAAATAACAATGTTTAGAAAGTGTTTTTTATCAAAAATGTGTTCGTGTGTGTTCTAAAGGATCTAAAATCACAAATTCATGATGTTATGTAGTAAAATTTGCATCAAATTGCACTCCCGATCAATCTCACGTAGTAGTTACGTCCAAACTCCAAAGCCAGCACACACCTAATAATTTTAGCTTGACGATTAGAGCATCTAGCCGAACGAGTGGTCGCTGCGAACGCATCACTATACTTTACACGAGTAGATGCGTGCGTGCGTGCTACCGTGCATGCCCTCCACGCGCCAGTGCTGACCACACGGCTCCTCAGCCTTCCATGTGTCCATGCAGTTTAGCGAGCGCGCGAGACACCTCCTCACCTCGCTGCTACGTAGGCGCGCGCGGGGTCTCGATGGGCCGGGCGCATCCAGCTGCTAGTGGCCGCATCCGCGTATATGGTAGTACGCATACCTGCCCCGGCACGTACGGCGCGCGGCACCGGTGAACCGATCGATCGATCATCGATGTGTCCTCATGTGTGTGTATAGGTCACGACAATGCACATATATCATCAGCTGTGAGTGATTAGTTAGCCTCCATCGGTTAGCTAATAGATTTTCAAAATTAATTTTAAGATGTTTTCAATGTAGTTGTTTTATATGTTGACCGGAACCGATGGACTGTTGACTCCCGAAGACCATGAGTACGTATACGTCTCGTAATTTGGTTATTTGTTGCAGACTTGCAGTCACAGTTGATCACTCGACCATCCGGTTCCCGTCAGTATGTACGGACTGCTGGATTGGATTTAGATGCATGATTGAATCCTGTTTAGTTCGCGAAAAGAAAAGTTTTGTGTGTCTCATAAAAAAACTAATTTTATAACTCGCATGGAAACCGGTTTTTGGACACGAATAAAAAAACTAATTTTATAACTCGCATGGAAACCGCGAGACGAATCTTTTGAGTCTAATTAATCTGTCATTAGCACATGTTGATTACTGTAGTACTTATGGCTAATCATGGACTATTAGGCTCAAAAGATTCGTCTCGTGATTTATCCTCTAACTTTGCAATTAGTTTTTTAAAAATCTATATTTAATGCTCCATAAATGTGTCTAAAGATTCGATGCGATGTTTCTGGGAAAAACTGGTTGGGAAATAACAGGCCCGCGTTGTATGCATGCTATGCGTGTCAGTACGTACGCGTGGTAGGCGCGGACTTGTTGGGCTTGGCGATCGATCAGCTAGATAGCCAAGCGTAGATAGATTATCGTGTCACCCAAATAGAAATAGTAGTGGGTCGATCAACTAGATATAGCTATAGTTCCTTTTTTTATTTATATATAGTAAAAAATTTTAGTAGAATTTTTGTGGGGCTCTCATAGTTTTCACGTGCTCCTATATTGGATCCGCACCCCGCGTGTCAATGCAAATAGAACCCAATTATCTGGATGAAACATGCATGCGCACAATCTAGAATACACTCCCTCCGTTTGTTTGCATGAGACGTACCCCTTCATATTATAGTTGTTTTAGATTTGTACAATATTTATAAAAAAATATAATAATTTTTAACACTAAATAAATATAATATTAAAAATATATCCAATAATTGATTTAAGGGAACTAATCTGAACAAGCTAGGGACACCACTAAAGGGAGGAGTCCCATAGACAGCAGTGTCACATCCCGTATTAGGTTTATTTATTATGAAATGAAGAGAGATAACTCTATTTACATCTTTTTTTAATGCCAAATATACGTATAATTTATAAGTAATTAATGGCAAAAGTTCACAAACTTTGACTTTTGAAACGCTATTATACGCCTTGTAAAAAGAAAGAGGAAGGAGTACCATCAACACTTTTGGGCTTTCCAGCCGCATTTGTCTCGCGGACTTCAGTAGGCCGTCGACTGCGTCGAGCTATATCTCCACCGGCGGCCCGGGAGACCGCGAGTCCGGGCCGTGCACGCGAGCGCTATGGCTATGGGCCGCATCGCGCTTATGGGCCGCAACGTCTGGTTTTTCCCGGGCCTTTTCGCGGATTCGCCGGTGGAAAGCGTAGCGGTGGGCGCCCACGGGGAAACACCGAGCACGAGGCCACACGAGATAGGCTGCAACTGCAAGGGCCTGTGCCCTCCTGGGGCCCACGAGTCGGCGAGACGGCAGGTCTTACAGGTGGGCCCCACGTGGCAGATTCCCCACATCACTTTCCCACCTTTCGCCTAGGAAAAGCCGGCCGTCGCCGTCTCCCGCCTTCGTCCTCCCCTCCAGCCGCCGACCGACCGAGCGCGATGGCGGCGGCGCGGCTCCGGCTGCTGTCCGCGGGGCTCCTCTCGCCGGCGGTGTCCAGGGCGCGGCACTCTTCTTCCCTGCAGGGTACTACTAGCTCGGCTGCTCTGCTTGCTGTGTTCCTCTCTCTCTCTCTCTCTCTCTCTCTGCCTTCGAGGCGTTCGACGTAATGCCGACGCGGCGGTGGCGCTGATGATCGGTTGGTGTGGGGGGTGGCTTGGTATTGCAGGTCTCCGCGCGCTGTCCACGCTCTCCACTACGCTCGGGTCCGGCGCGGGGGAGGACGAGATCGAGCGCATCCGCCGCGAGTTCGAGGACGCCAAGCGGAACTACCTCAGCATCCCCGTCGCCATCAAGGACATGGCCAAGATGAACCCGCAAGGTCTCAGTGTTTGTTCTTTTTACTATCCGCATCCGCTTCTTCTTGCTGTATGAAAAAAAATAAGGTTCTTGAATCCGTGCTTGGGGGATGTTGCTTGGTTCGCCTTTGCTGGGTTTTCAGGCATTTATGTGAACAAGAACGTCAAACTGGATGACCTGCAAGTCTATGGTTTTGACTATGACTACACGCTGTCCCACTACTCCGAGCACCTGCAGTGCTTGATCTACGATCTCGCCAAGAAGCACTTGGTCAATGAGGTTTGATTGTTCGTGGCTTTAGTGGCTTACTGGCCTTTCCAGTCTTCTGCATGAGTCACGCTGTTGTGGGTTGTGAGCGGCTGATGTTTTGTGCAGTTGAAGTATCCGGAGAGCTGCTTGAAGTATGAGTATGACCACGGCTTTCCCATCAGGGGGCTCTATTATGACAGATTAAAAGGTTGCCTTTTGAAGCTTGATTTTTTCGGGTCTATCGAACCAGATGGTTGCTTCTTTGGGCGGCATAAGGTGATACATTCACTCATTCATATTTTTTATGTTCAAATGTAAATAAGTATTTTCTTAATATAATCTTATAATTATGTTAGTGATTGGTTGCCTTGTACTGGGTGACTTTTGAATTCAAGCTGATCCAGACAGAATATTGAGAGCTGAATTCTCCTTTAGTCTTTCATTGATCTGAAAGTCTCTGGCCCCGGGGTTATTTGATATTTCTGTGCGCACACTGTTTTGAGTCGATGGTAGATATGGGACCCTCTCCTTAAAAAATCCCATAGTAGTTTATTCATCATTATGGAAAATGTTTTTCATGCCTGCCATTGTCTTCAGCCAAAGCTTTACATTATGGAAAATGTCTTTTTTTTTGTCAATGACTTACTGATTCTTATCAGTATGTTTCTTGATCAGCTGAGTTTGAGTGAGATAAAAGAACTCTATGGCACACGGCATATTGGCAGAGATCAAGCTCGCCAGCTTGTTGGGCTAATGGATGTCTTCTGTTTTAGTGAGGTACTTTTGAATCGATCCAAACTTCCTCTCACATTTACTTTATTATCTTCTATTCATGTTGTAGTCTTTCACTTCTGGATTAGGAAAGTACTATCAATGCCCTACTAGAATTTTGTGGACTAAGTAGTGTGGCTTTCAGTTTTCAACCCCCTTGCCTAGATGTTTGCGCTCTTCTATCCATTGTTGTATCATGTAACAACATTGAGAGTTATAATTCACTCAAATGTACCATTGAAATGTCACATAATTTGTTTATTTCATAGAATCACTGTGAGACTGTATCACAAAATTTAACTGGATTTTCAACTGTTCCTAATCTTCACAGGCATGCCTTCTTGCTGATATAGTTCAGCACTTTGTAGATGCCAGGCTGGAGTTTGATGCATCCTATGTATATGAAGACGTAAACCAATCGATTCAGCATGTCCACAGAAGTGGTCTGATTCACAGGAAAATTCTTTCGGAGCCTCAGAAATATCTGATAAAAAATGTACATTACAAATATTCTTCTAAGCATATTGCCTTTCCCCCTCCCCTGCATTTGCCTTTTTTCTAATTATTTTTTATTTTTGCAGAGCAGTGCTTTAACATTCTTGCCTTTTGACTTTCGTTTATTCAATGATATTCGTTCACCAATGCAACTCTCTGAGACCATTGCCTTCTATGTGACCCACAGAGCCAGGTCTTCCGTTTCTTAAAGATGCTAAGAGAGAAGGGGAAAAACCTATTTCTTCTCACCAACTCACCTTTCTACTTTGTGGATGGAGGAATGAGCTACTTGCTTGAGGTCCTTTCTAATTGATCGTCCTTGTAATATGGCAAATCTTTCTCATAAGGCCATCATTTTGTTCACTCATACATTTTGATTTGACTTGTCAATTATTTGATTGAACAGGATGAGCATTTTGATGGGAATTCCTGGAGGGAGCTCTTTGACGTTGTCATTGCGCAGGCAAATAAACCGACTTTCTATAATTCAGACCACCCATTCAGGTAGATCTCCATTCTTCGAAAGAAACAAGAAATGAATTCAATACTTAGCAAAATTATGGAGTTAATGGTTTCATTTACCATTTCCACTGCTGTAATCAGTATTATTGTTGCTTAACCTTTAATGGTTGATTAACAAGAAAGTGTTCTTACTGTGTCTACTCCAATAATTATGTATTCTTAATAATATCTTCTGGTTACTCATAGGGTATATGACACTCAAAAGGATACACTAGCTTTTACTGCAGTTGACAAGTTTCTGCCAAATGAAGTTTATTATCACGGTTGCTTAAAATCATTTCTGCAGATTACAAAGTGGAGAGGCCCAGAGGTTTGTTTGGAACCCACATCATTTTTTCATTCTTTTTTATTTCCATTTCTGCTTATCATTAACCTTTCTGTCCACAGTGATATTATTTTCCATTAACCTTTCTGTCCACAGTGATATTAATTTCCTTTATCGAACACACTAATTTTCATATTAAACATATGCACCTCCTGAAGTAAGGAAATTTTCCATTCAAGTCTATCATCTCAAGATGTTTTGGCCATGCTTTAGGTTATATACTTTGGTGATCATCTTCTCAGTGACTTGAGAGGGCCTGCAAAAGCTGGCTGGCGAACAGCTGCTGTAATTCGTGAACTTGAGGTAGACCTTTTCTTTTTGTTGGGATTTACGTCTAAATACACTAGAAAGGAGTGCGTTAAATTCAAGTTTCGTTAATTTAACACCAAGATTGACTAGTAACCTCTTAGGTTTTCTTGAATCTTGACCCCTGTTGGTACTAAAGAAGTCGCGTGCTGATGATAACTCATTTTAAACTAAGAAATATATTAAAATAAAACATAATATAACAGGAAGTTCTAATTACCAACCCTTTGATGGTCTTGACCTTGAATAATTTGGGATAAGATGTTACATGGCTTGAAGTTTGTACTTAAAGTGAAAGATCTGAATAATTCTCTTTGATTCTCTTGACGAATTAACATTACATGTCCATCCAATACATATAGTTACATGTTGTACTGTGTATAAAGTTCTATCTTTATCACTTCAGGATGAAATAGAAATCCAGAATGGTGACAGCTACCGGTTCCAACAGGTATATACTATCATCGCCTCTCATATTTAGAAAATGTAACTTAATTTCCATAGAAGGAGTGTGCAAATCAATATGTTGTCCAGTACAATTAAGCCAGATTAGAAATTGAAAATGTTAATCCGTTTAAATTAAAATTATGAAAAACAAAGTATAAAACCTTGTATTACCATATAATATATGTAGGGCAATTATTTTTTTACTGAAATTGTTTGTGAGAAAAATGCTACATGTTCTAAAAACAAGTGTTTATTTTAGTGTGTAAAAAGTGCTGTTATAATGACTACCATACCTCCCTTGTGTGATCAAATAGAAGAATCTGCCCAAAACAGTCTGGTTTCTTGTGTTTTTGGCTTTTGCCAAGGGGGGTTTGGTTTGCTGTCCAAAAATTTGGGCTGCAAGCTTTGACTCCCCAACTATCAGTGAAACGTTTTCCTCTAGTTGGTGGTATCTATAAGCAACATAGAAAAGACCTTAACTCTCTTATCATCCTTGTTGCTTGGGAGATTTGGAAGCACCACAATGGATGCGTCTCATCTCAACACAACCATTTCACACTCCAACTTTAATCTCTTGAAAAAAGGGAATATGTAGCTGTATTTTGAGACAGAGGGAGTAGTAAATAAGGCACTTGGGCATGCAAGGGTGATAAATCTTTAAATATATCCACCCTACGTTCCTACCAGCTCATAAAATACGATACACAGACAATCATTTGCACCACAACTTTCGTCCTACAGAAGGATGGTATTCTCTTTGTTTACCAGTTTGTATGATTTGGTTCCTCTATCAATATATTGTGACAGTCCATGATTTTCCATCTACATGGATGCTTTGTCAGGTTGCTTTAACTAGTCTTACACTGCAGGCAAAATTAAGTATAATACATGATCTACTTGGGAAAGTTCATGCAACTGTGGTTAGCACTGAGAAAGGACAAGTTTACCGAGCATTGCTTGATGAGTTGAATGCAGAAAGGCGTCAATGTCGATCTGCGATGCGAGATCTTTTCAATAGCTCTTTTGGTGCAACCTTCCTTACAGATACTGGAAGGGAATCATCGTTTGCTTATCACATCCATCAATATGCAGATATTTACACCAGCAAGCTTGAGAATTTTTTGTCATATGCCCCTGAATCATGGCTCCATCCACCTCATGACATAAAGATAATGCCACATAATGCGAAGGTAGCTTATATTTCCTCCCATATGTGGTATTTATATCCACCTGATTAGTTTCAAACTTTCAATAACGGGTACTCTTATGATTATTTTATTTGGTTATTTTCAAACTGAAGCTTGGTCTTTAATTTTTACTGCTCAAGAAATACAATGCATACTGTTTTCGATAAATATAGGGATCCATAACATTTGGTAACTTCTTATACTGTTTGTATGTTTTATTTTCTCCTATCTTAATGGAATTTACTCTTTCAGTCAAAATAAGAAAAGAAATTTACTCTTTGGACGGCAGCAAGCTAGAAAAATCCATTGAAACTGAACACTTGAATTCACCAGCCAAATAGCTCCACCATTTTTATCCAAGTATATTTAATATGCATGCTGAATTGCTGATGTATTGAAATATCGAGTACCACGTGCTGATGCTTTTTGAACATTCCATGTTATAGGTCCCAGCGAGTTTGTTCAGTGGCTCGTAGCTCATTCTATCCATTTCCGATGGAGAACCGTAACACCCATTATGGTTTCTGTGTCCGACCCGAGAGTATGAACTGCCATGCCACTGCATCTGGTTAGCTGATGAATAAAGCTTGGGTACACCCAACCCAACATACGTGGCGCCAACTCAGCAAGATGTGGCTAGTGCTGCGATTGACAGAAGAGAAGTGATGGTTGTTATGTTCTGTACCGTTATTTGAGGATGATTTCGGTCTGACAGGCGTGGTTTTCTGTTTCCAAGACATCCAGAGGACTAAACAACCAACCAAATGATGGTTGCTAATAAGAATTGTTTTCCAATCATCCATCTTGTTTCTCATTGTTCTATTCTCCTTTTGGATGAGATATGTAAAACACACATGATTCGTATTCCGTTAACAGTAAAATCTCCCAAATTATGGGTAATCCTTTTCCTTCAAGCTTCTTTTGAATGATCAGCAAGCAAGGAATGGATAAACATATACAGTATTTGAATTTGACAGCTTCTGACTTCTGAGGTAGTATGAACTTGTAACAACGAAATGCCACATTGTTGTTGCAGTGAATGTTAGATGGTATGCCAGTAAGCCACTGCCATCTTCCTGTTGCAGTTGATAAAATGCCACCACTTAGGGCTTGTTTAGTTCGCGAAAAGAAAATTTTTGGGTGTCACATCGGACATTTGACCGAATGTCGGAAGGGGTTTTTAAACACGAATGAAAAAACTAATTTCATAACTAGCCTGGAAACCGTGAGACGAATTTATTAAGACTAATTAATCCTTCATTAGCACAGGTGGGTTATGTAGCACTTATGGCTAATCATGGACTAATTAGGCTTAAAAGATTCGTCTCGTGATTTTCATACAAATTGTGCAATTAATTTTTCATTTTAGAAAAACTAGTCCACGCTATCCTGTGGGGACATGATAGCTTTCTCATCCTCATCCACCCGTATTCTCATACACCCGATCGCTCTGCCTCCGTCGCCATCCTTCTTCTCGCAGGTGCCGGGTAAGCACCTTGCACTTCGACCATGCTGGCGTGACGTCGTCGTCGTCGTCCCCACCACCGCCACTTCCTCCTCCTCCACTGACACCTGCGCCGTTAGTGGCGGCGGCGACGACGCGCACAGGCGCTCGTGCCACCTCACTCCCCTCTGTCTCCCTCTCCCCTCCAGTCTCTCTCTCTCTCGGGAGAAGGTTGAGAAGGTGGAGACGAAGCCAGTCGAGAGGAAGGGGTCATCGTCGTCGTCTCCCACGGCCGAGGAGGATGACGACGGCGCGGCCTCGGTGAGGTCGCCCTCAAGCTCACCTCCCTTGCTGCGCCTCTCTGGCTCGCTGCCCTCGTCGGTCTTCTCATCGGCTAGGCATGGCGCTCACGCTAGGCTATTGCCGTCGTCGGGGACAGCGAACAGCCGCCGCCGGTCACCCCTGCTCTGCCTCCACCTCACGTCGCCGAGGACTTCCGACCGACCTCACCACCTTCTACGTCCGCGCCATGGTCTTCTCCATCAGGTATCAGTCGTGATACCTCAGTATCAGGCCTGGTACCCACAAGTATCAGGCATGGTACCTAGGTACCAGTCGGTACTAAGGTACTAGGTATCAGGTACCTAGGTATTTATGATACCTAGGTACCAAGGTACCATGTACCAATTGATATCCAGTTGGTACTAAAGGTACCAGGTACCAGCTGGTACTAAGGTACTAGGTTCTATTATAGGGGAACCCACCTGGAAGCTCACGGAAAGAAATGAGAGGAGTCACTTAAAATATACCGTTCTAACGGGATCTCGTTCTATAGTCTCTCTCTTTTCATTTTACCTATATTTAATGCGTCATGCATGTGCCAAAGATTCAATGTGATGTTTTTGGGAAAAAAAAATTTGGGAACTAAACAAGGCCTTAGGTTAGCTTTAGAATATCGCAAACATTTAAATCTTTAAATTTATTTTACTTGCTTTTATATTTTCAGCTCAAGGCCATTTCCTCACTCAATCAACCCATTCACTGACCGTCCGATCTAACATGGGCGGCCTAGATTCGAGAGTCAGCAGCGTCGACGGGTACGTTTCATACAGGTCCCTCACTTCCAGACCTCCGGCCGCCATGGCCTCGAGCAAACTCATTCCACGGCGAGCCGGCGACGGCGACCCAGAGTGGCCGCCGCCGACCAAGGCTTCGGCGATCAGGTACGATCTGTTCTTCTTCAACCTCCATCCGTTGTAGCGAAAATCGATCTATGTGTGTCCGGTAGCGGTTCACTCCCCGGCCGGGTCACCGCGAGATTCAGGTAAACATTAGAAATTTCACCAAATAGAAATATTAGAGATTCAGGTAAATATGAGTTCATGACAAATAGAAAATTTTATTTGATTTGATTCTGTTCATGTAGAGGTAAGCTATTGTTTAATCTGAGGGGATTTCGCTTGGCATCTGTCAAACTAAGAAAAGTGCTTCCTGTTTCTTTTTTCTTGACATCTAGATAATGGATAAGAACAGAAAATGAGTCTAAAGCTACTTTAAAGCTAGCTAAACTGCTTATACTCTCTAGATCTGATCAACTGGAAACCTGACCAACCAGAGAAATGTTATTCTATGGTGGGCATTGAGCAAATGGAGCTTGATTGGAGCGAGCAGAAGTGCTACTTGTCCTTGTGTTCTGCAAGCTGGTCATCTTGATCTCCATTGTTTCTGGACATAGTTAACGGCTGCAGCTCCAGTTCCTGCCTGCGTGACCGAGGTGACCTGAGTATCCAAAATAAATGGCAGTTAGACACAAATTCAATCACGCACCGATGATTCATGGGATCTTTTGTTATCATGTTGTGCCTAGCAGCAAATTGCGAAATCTGAAGTCTATACTCTGCTGATGCTAGAATGAACAGCACAAAATTCTGAACATGAAACGTGCCTACACACACTCCTTACCTCTTCCGTAAACTGGATCTGTTTCCACCTGAGGAGAGCACGGTAGCAGGTGCAGACAAATATCCAGCATCATCTGACGATGAGGTGCTCGTCTTTTCACATTGCAGAAGAACATGGGCAAAATAAATTCTCCGAAAGTTTGTAGATGGAAAGGATAAAAAAAAAAGGATATGCAGATCCTGGTGAGCTGGTGAAAGTTTCAGAAAGAAATGTACTCACATTTTGATGAGACGCGGTCTTCTTCAGCTTACGTGTCTTCTTGTTGTGATTTTTTCCCTTGCCTTTGAGAGCACAGATGCATTTTAAGATGTAATACAGAAGAACACACCCAAGGGATAGCTCAATTGTTAAGGCTGTTCTCAACACTGAAAGTATTTGTAACACGGAGAAATGGTCAGTACAATTTGGTGGATGTAGACATCTAGTGCAGAAGGTTGTGCTAAACACAAAAACCACCAGCATGGACACTTACAAAGATCTCTTGACTTCACAGATTTCCTTATGAGTAGACGAATGGTCTTTATGGTGGACAATGGCGTCCCTGATTTCATTGAACAGTCTGGGTAGCATCCAAAGTATCCCAGGTCATTTACAATAATAACTAAGGTTGTTTCATTGCTTCGACCCTGAAAGAGAAACATAACCCATATTTTAGTCTGAACATTCTCCTAATCTCCTGTGGGGCATGAAATATACCATTTTAGTCTGAACACTTAGGTAATCATTCACAAAGTCAGGCACCAATTCAATCTTTCCAAAAAGCAGTTCATTTGGATTGTCTGAAAAGTTTAGCTTTCCTGAAGTGCAGTAACAGATATGCAATTACAAAGACACCTATGACTTATGCAACGGACTGCATAATTTACCTGGCCGAGGAACAACATATTCACTCAAGAAAGGAGACAAATAATTCATGGAATGAACTAATGAAGTGACCAGAGAAGATAAAATATTTACCTGGTAGAACAACCGCTGCATTGCATTGTTGCAATCAGAGACACTCCCACGGAACCTGATACCAGCTACTCTCAGGACTATGCGATCAGCACTGGAAGTCTGAAGGGGCTGCCAACAGTTGTTCCCTTCAATCTTCACCTCTGCAGTGGCGACGATACCAGCTGTCAAGGTTACCATGAGAGCTCCTTCATGAACTTCTAATGAGAGAACCAGCTGAAGATGGGACTTGTTCCCTGCAAAACGAATGAGAATAAAGCGAGCTAAGTTAATCTGAAAGGCCAAAGAACAACAGTTACATGTCAAAGTAAGCATGATATTCCTCATCTACCAATAATAGAAAGAGGTGATGAAGTACCTGGGAAACTCTGAAGATCTGGTTCAACAATGGAGGACTCAAATGGATCCCTTTGTTTGTCAAAGATTTGATATCCTTCAATTGATTTTTTCCCACCCAAGAAAATCGATTCTGGAGCTAATATAACTGGTGGATCGTTGATTGGCTCTACGAAAATGGGTACTTGAGCATCTTCTCTTCCACTCCTGCTCATGGCATAAATCTTTATAATATCATTTCCATAGAAGTCTTCGTTTCTGCACATGGTGATAGAATTATGATCATTAGTAAACAACTATATTGACCCTTGTGAAATAAATCCTTGTAAGACTAGGAAGATTCAGATTCTTGATTACTACCCGATATACTTAACAAATCGTAGCGCTCCATTTATTGCTTCGACTGTTCCGTTGAATATCAAATCTTTGCCATATCTATCTCCTGTGCTGATTGAAAGTACGTCATATGATGTCTGATGAAATTTCATTGGCATAGGAGCAAGAGACACATTTCCAGACTGCGCTTGTAGCATAACAGAGATATTTTCTGCTGCATCTGAATATGCTATCTTAATCCCTGGAAACCCACTGCCCAAAACATATCAGCAAGTGATTAGTTCAGAAATCCAAACAAAAGAAGTGATGATAGGTCGGGAGAAACAGCTATTTACCCGAATTGTGGGGCAATCGTGTCTTCAGTAGCATGTAGCTGTTGGGGTAAAGAAATAAACTGGGGTGGTCTGCAGAGAACTGATATGAACACTGTGCCGTATGCAATGTTGTCATGCTTGTCGAATATTATGTACCAAAATGTGTCATTTCCAAAGAATCCTTCGAAAGGTGTGTACCTAAATTTTTTTTGATTGTATTGTAGGACTGACCCATGAAGCGGCTTCAAAAAGGTAGGCACAAAGTTATCATGAATTCCTTGTTTTTTTTTTAAAAAAAAACAAGGTTATCATGAAATCGAATTGGTGAAATTAAGTAATGGCATGATGAAGTAACTGGAATATTACTCCGATCCACATATTAAAAGACTTTTTTTTGGCTAGATTTATAGTATATTTTAAGTTGGAATATTACTCCGATCCACATATTAAAAGACTTTTTTTGCTAGATTTGTAGTATATTATAAGTTGTGTTGTTAAAGTGTTAACATGTACAAGACTAATATATCGCATGAGAAAATTTTGTGGTTATCACTAAGAAGTTATAGATAGTTTTGGGGCTGAAAAGACGCGAATATTAGGGAATGACCTAATATCAAATAATTAGAAAGGGTATGGCTTCGAAAAGCTCACCACTTTGTGAAGCTAGCCGAAAGACCCTTGGGTGGTTCTTAGATAGTTTTGGGGCTGATCTGGGGAATTAGTTGACGGCATGGGCTTACCGGATAAAAATTAACTACAGCTTGGCCTCCTGCAATGTAGTCATTTGACAATACATCAAAGGAAACAGATTCATTCTCCCGTACTGAAATTATATCGTTTTGAACCGTGGAGAAGTCTTCATCTGCATGAGATATGTTTTTTTTTTCAGCTAATCATAGCTATTTAACAATTAAACAGAAGTATTGATGCTCAAATTTTTCTATGATTTTTTTTTGAATTTAACTATGAATCTCATCTGACCAACTGAAATGTTACCTTGAACAACATGCACTTCGAATGGGCAAGGTTTCAGTTGTGCATCCTCAAACTGAATACAAATTCTATATAAACCGGTATTTTTCGCCACATAATAAGTAGTATACGATCCATCTTTGTTGTCAACAAACTCCCCTGCGGTGAAGCTTGGCGCATTCATAGGGGTTGTACTATCTGCAGAGGTTAGCTGAATCCTCAATTTTGATGCCAAGTGTATCATTGGATTCATGAATGGATCAACAAGTTGAACAACTACTTCATTGTGGACTGAAGTTTTGACTTTACGAACGAACGTGACAACTGTTGATAAATCGGTGCTAACTACACCTGCAAGTAGAAAAATGTCATATGGATAGTTAGCATCCTGAAATTGGTTGTTTTGAGCTGCAAGTTAAGGTAAGATGTGATGTAATCATTGGAATTGCAAATGTCTACTGAATCACATCAATATGAAATTGAATTACTAAAAATATACAAAAGAGGTATCAAACCTGTGGAAACTGTCATTTTATAGGGATTTCCACTGTTTATCACTATGTTCCCACACTGAACCCAAATTTCATACTCCCCAGCAAATTTAGGAGTATATGAAACATTAAAACTATTTGGTCGCATGTTTCCTGCAATAATCTGAGGACACAGAGTGTATTTTAGTAACCATGTCAATAAACAATCAAAAGAGGCAGAGAAATAGTACTTTTTCCTGATGGCCAGTAGGTCCTCCACTGAAATGTCCTCCCACAAATGTACTGAAATGTCCTCCCACAAATGTTTCCTCTGCAAATAAATTTAGTTGTTAGAACATACTCCTTATGTCCTAAAATTAGGCGTGTTAGTTTTTTACATGGTATTAACTTCTTTGATTCTTTCATACTCCATCCATCCACAAAAGTTACACCTATTACTTTTGTCACTAAGACCAAGAAAAAATTAAATCATTTTGGATGTTACAAAATCAAGGAGTGAATGTAAGCATGCAACTAATGAGTATTTAGATGACTTCTTGGGTTCTAATTAAACATTTAATTTATCTCTTCATTTAAGTCTCGAATGCATAAAGACTACAAATAGGCCGGAACAACTTATTTGGAAAAACTTAAATGTGAAATATGTCTAACTTTTGTGGATGGAGAGAGAGTAATATATTATCATCATCTACAGAGTTAACATCGTGTCAAAGTACTTTCAAATATAAATATATTACATTTGTGACACTAAACATATAAATTACTAGTTTAATATTAGTCAAGAGTAACATATCTTGATTTTCCTAAACATACGGATGCCATATTGGGTCAGAAAAATACTTTTTTTTCTAGAAAAATATAAGATCAAATGGTTTGATAGCATTACCATTTAATTCTCCTGGAGATATGGTTGAATTTACACTAGCACCATTTTTACTCAAAATCTGTACTTTCAGCCATGCGGATTCAATTGGGGAAGGATAGCTATAGTGATCCTGCAGGTAAACCATAAAATGTGACACTGAACCGGCAACTGAATGTGCTAAACCAGATCCATTAGCAAAACTGTTTGAACCATCGCAATACCCTGTTCAGATTGAACTAACGAAGAGTTAGTTTTGTGATTAATTAGCAAACGGATAGTTGAATATTGAGAAAAAAAACAGTAGCAACCTCTTAAATCATGACTAAACAAGTAGCAAACCAGACTCTACTGATAAGAAAATCACCATATAAAAAAGAGTGAATTTCATAAAACCCTAGGTTTTGAGGTACTTATAACACAAACATCTAAGTTCTACTATTTGTTTTGAGAAACCCCATGTTTTGGGGCAAAATGTTTCAAGAAACCCCATATTTACTCAAATACTCATAATTTAAATATTATATATGATTTTTAGTATATGTTTAAGCACCAAATACACATCTCATCCTATATAATTTATCTTTTTCCTCACTCTTGAGTTGCACAATTGATAAAAACGCAACATAACCTCATTGATAATGGCACATAACATATTATTTATACCTATAAACAATCATACTACCCATGACCTATGCTCGTTAAAATGAGGCTAGCATTTATATATACTCAGAAATATCTCGTATTATTTTTTTCAATTATTATGCATAAATATATTAGCCAAAAGCGATGATATAAGCTTAAACATGAGGTTTCTTGAAACATTTTGCCCTAAAACTTAGGGTTCTTCGAAACAAATTGTAATACCTAGAGTTCTGTGTTATATTATAGGTGCCCCAAAACCTAGGGGTTTCTGAAATTCACTCTATAAAAAATGTACACCATGTTGAACATCACAAAATGCAGAAGAAAATTACCTACAAAAACATTATACACGTAGTCCATGTTGGAGATCTTTTGGTTCAGCTTAGGATCGAAAATTGTGAGAACAAACTCTCCAGGATCCACAGCTTTGAAAGAGAGCAGCCGAGTTCCATCGTCCACAACCTCAATCAGTAGATCTGCTACCGGGACAGACAAATTTGTGGCTCGTTTAACTATTCTAGCATCAAATGGATGGATATCTGGAACAGCATTTCCAAAATAATCCTTCTGATGTATGAAAATCTCCAGCTTGGAAAATATCTGCAATACATTAGTCCCATACTTCCAGCTGCATGTGCTTTTAGCTATATCAACAGGGCCTGAAAGAAGTTGATAAAGTTAACTAAATTACTCAAATCCCCACAAAATTATGCATCTGACCGCTAGCATATATTTCCAGCATAATATACTACCACAAATTAATTATGAATTGTATTTCTCGCCACATACAAATAATTTGGTCAAATACATAATCACATAATCTCCAACTCTCCCAAACAACACATATTTTTACTCAAATTTTGCAATATGTAAATGAACTAGAAGTCAGAAGTTGGAAAACTCGGTATTTATAGATTCTCAAAACTGGTTACAAATCCGCTGCTTCTCATAATTTTAAGCTCCCCTAAACCATGAGTTCTATTGTCAATTATTTTTTTTTAAAAAAAATACTTTGAGAAACTGAATAAGTAGCACTGGCGCTAACCTGGATTGACGGTCAGTAACAATGGCGAACCACGCAATGTGTTGTCATCGCTCTGAACCCGGACAAGGAATGCTCCAGCAACAACCGGAACAAACTCAAGGCTGATGCGTCCATCTTCCGCCCATCCATTGTACCGAAAATCCTTGAATTCCACGATGGCGCCATTGCTACGGGACACCGACACCTTCAAGTTGCCATTGCCGCCGGGCATGTCGGCCCCTCGCGCGACGCCGTTGCCGAACGCGTCCCTGAGAGCGACCGACACGGACGCCTTCGATCCGGCGACGCACGCGCCGGAGTAGGTCCAGGAGGCCAGCGACGCCGACGGGTGCACGCCGGCGGCGGCGACCGCGAACTCGAGCGTCGACTCGGCGACGCCGAACCGCTCCTCGCCGACGAGCACGACGAAGTCGCCGGCGCGCAGCGGCACGAACGTGATGTTCCAGGCGGCCGGCTCGCCGGCGTGGTGCGCCGCGACGTCGGCGATGTAGGTGCTGTTGCCCCGCCTGCCGTTCACCGTCGCCGTGAACGACAGCGACCGCCGCGCCTCGTCCCCGGGCGGGAGGTCGAGCGGCGTGATCTTGATCACCGCGGTGTCGCCGGCGACGAACGACGACCTGTAGTCGAGCCAACTGAACGCGAACGACGGCGGCATCGGCTGCTGCGCCCGCGCCATCGACGCGCGCCGTGCTGCTGCGACGACGCAGAGGAGGAGAAGCCAGAGAGGAGGCAAGGACGAGCGCGGCGAGCCCATGGCGGCCGGCGTTCTTGGCCGGTGTGGAAGGACGTGGAGGGCTGCAGGGTGGATGAACTCCGACGACGGTGTTACTGATCTGCAAGTTTCTGCAACTACATCCCCTTACAAAGAAGTTTTGGCAACTGCAAGGCGGCAATCGGCCTGCAAGTTTTTGCAACTGCAACTCTGCAAGACTGCAACTGCAAGGTGGTTTCCCTTAGCACGTTTTTTAAACTGCTAAATAGTGTTGTTTCACGTGAAAACTTTCTACATAGAAGTTGATATAAAAATAATCAAATAAATCTATTTTTCAAGTTTTTAATAATTAAAATTTAATTAACCATGTGCTAATGACTTTTCTTGTTTTACGTGCGCACTTAATTTTCATCCTTGTTGGAGAATCAAACAGGGTCGTAGACAGTGGGCTAGTGTCCATGCCTTGGCCATCAACAATTTGAAGATGGGAAAATTTCATCCTCTGTGCCTTTGTGGCACCTTAAGTTTTTGAAAGAAAAAAGAGTCACGAGTCATTCTCTGTTACCATTAGGGCATCCTCAATGTGTAAAAAAGGTAACCTTAAGCAATTAATGCTGCAACAGTACACGACTTTAAGCATTGTGGAGCTACACCATAAGCTTTATGCTAGCAAAAACAACCTTAAGCTTAAGGTATGACACAAGAGAATAAAATACAATTGCTACACTGTTTACAACAATAAAATATACACATCAGTTCAACCGCATTGCTTCTAGCCGTTGTGGCCGTTGCCGCTACACTGCTAGCCGTTGGCTTCATTTGCTTGCTGCTGATACCTATAAAACATATGTAGAAAACCCACAAGTGAACGAGCAACACAACCTGATTCATCCATTTCACCACACCATACATGGATCCTTTCAACAAAACTTTTACAAATCTGCTCAATCAAGGTTCCTCAAGCCAAGCAACAGAGAGTGATGGCCCAAACCCTCCTCATCCCCAATTTCCCACAAATTTTCCCCAATATTTGAGACCTAGTTTTCTACATAATTTTCATCCTTTTGGTACTCCAACCAACTACCAGCCATATAGCCACCCTCCTCCAATCTTTCAAGGTGCTCACCGACAAGATTATTATGGGCAAACAACTCCATCTAGCTTTCCAGGGGTTCAACTTCAAGAAAGTATGGTATGCTCACCTAATCAAGTGTATGGATTTGCAGCTAGTAGATCACAAGTTGGGATGCAATATAATTCATCACTTGGGGCTGTAGCCAACAACTCTTCCCATGGATCAGAGTCAGCTTCTCCAAGCCTTGCAAGGCAGAAGGAGAAACAAGTAGTTGATCTTGAAGAGGGAAGTGATAGCAGTGAAGAAGGAAGAAGGGGGATACGCATCAATTGGACCGAAGATGACAACATACGACTGATGAGTTCTTGGTTGAACAATTCCGTTGATCCCATAAAAGGCAATGACAAGAAATCAGAACATTATTGGAAGGCAGTGGCTGCAGAGTTTAACACCAATATGCCTAGTAATGGGAACAAAAGGACAGCTAAGCAATGCAGGACACATTGGGATAACGTGAAGAGAGATGTTACAAAGTTTTGTGGATTTTATGCTAAAGCTAGAAATACCTTCACTAGTGGATACTCTGATGAGATGATAATGGAGAAAGCCCGTGAGTGGTACAAAAGTCGAAACAACGATAAACCTTTCACCTTAGAGTACATGTGGAAAGATCTCAAAGATCAACCAAAATGGCGTAGAGTCCTTGAACAATCTAGCAAGAATAAGAGAAACAAGATTTCTGAATCAGGAGCATATACCTCATCATCTAATCAAGACACTGAAAAGGAATCAGTGAGCAAAGAGAAGCGCCCTGAGGGGCAGAAGGCAGCAAAACAAAGGCAAAAGGGGAAATGTGAACCATCACCTTTGGGGGACAAGCCAAGTCAAAATATGATTCTTTCATGAAGCTGTTACAACTAGAGCAGCAACAATTCTAAGATCACCAGAAGCAACATTGGTATCAGCAGAAGCTAAAAAAGAAAAGGCAAGAGCTAAAAAAGACAAGGCAAAGGCGAAGAAATACAAGACATACTTAAAATTGATGGAGAAGGATACATCAAACTACAGTGAAGCAAAATTGAAGAGACACGAAGATGTGTTGGACCAATTAGCTAGAGAATTAGCCGAGGAATAAAAATCAGTAGCAATGTCGTGTGTAAACAATTCTAGGAATCAGTAGCAAGCAATTAGCTAGGAATGATGCCTATTTTATAATGCCAATGTTCTTATCATATATTAGAATCGTGTGTAACAATGTTGCTTGTAATGTGACCCTATTTGTATTCTGCTCTATTATGGTAATATCAATATCAATGTTGTATGTTACTACTAGGGTATGGAACTACAACATGCTGAGAGAAATCACCTTTCACATGGATCTAGCTGTAAATGTTTTGTCTCCTTCCATGACCAAATCTGCTTATTTTACATCACTTGTACTGTGCCTATTGTAAACCTGACAAAAGCAAAAGATAGATGTTGGAACACTGCCAAAAGCATACATATCTATTGAAAACCTGACAAAAAGCAAGAGCTAGCTGTTGGAGCACTGATAAAAGCAAAAGCAAAATAGAGCTGTTGTAAACTAAATAAACTAGTTGTTGGAATCTAGCCATTGGAATGTATCATCTACAAATAGGTGATGTGGTTCAGCAGGACCAGTCATCCTCATTTCCTTCAACTTCATCCCAACAGCTTTCCTCCCACTTTCAAACAAAATGTCCAGCGAGTCACCAAACCAATCTAGTCAGTCAGATGATTCTAGCTCTAGTGACAATCTTGAAGGGTTGATGTGGGAAGAAATCAATGATCCTATGGAGGCTGAGATTGAAGCTGAGATGGAAGCTCAAATTGAAGCTGAACTTCAAGCTCAAATGCAAGCACAAGAAGCTGGTACTTCTAATCGACGTAGAGGCTACAACTGGAGGTACATCAATAGAGATCATGCAGAAGACCACAACAGATTGTTTGCTAAATATTTTTCTACCAATCCTTTATATACCGATAATCAGTTCCGTAGGAGATTTCGCATGAGAAAGCATTTATATTTTCGCATTGTTGAAGCTCTTGGCATTTAGTCCCCATATTTTCGTTTACGACGAGATGCATTTGGGAAGGTTGGCCTATCACCGTTGCAGAAATGCACGTCTGCCTTATGCATGTTGGCATATGGTACACCAGCCGACCTTATGGATGATACTTTTGGGGTTGCAGAAAGCACAGCAATGGAGTGCATGATAAAATTTGTTCAAGGTGTTAGACACATATTTGGTCAGCAATATCTTCGCAGACCTACTGAACAAGATATCTAGTGTTTACTTCAACAAGGTGAGGCACGTGAATTCCCCGGCATGTTGGGTAGTGTTGATTGCATGCACTGGGAGTGGCAAAATTGCCCAGTTGCATGGAAGGGCTAATTCACGCGTGGTGATTATGGTGTACCCACTGTCATGCTTGAAGCAGTTGCATCTGCTGACATATGGATTTGGCATGCCTTTTTTAGTGCTGCTGGTTCTAACAACGACATTAATGTGTTGGATCAGTCATCATTGTTCACTGAAGTGCTACAAGGAAGAGCTCCTAGTGTTCAATTTACTGTCAATGGGTCAGAATATAACACCGGATACTATCTAGCTGACGGTATTTATCCTGAGTGGGCTGTATTTGTCAAATCAATCATCAGACCTCAAGCTGACAAGGCTAAATTGTATGCACAACATCAAGAATCAACAAGAAAAGATGTGGAACGGGCATTTGGGGTTTTGCAAAAGAGTTGGGCCATCGTCCGTCATCCAGCAAGGATTTGGGAAAGGGAAGAACTAGCTGATATCATGTATGCATGTGTTATTTTGCATAATATGATAGTTGAGGATGAGAGAGACACCTACGAGATACCCGATGACAACACATATGAACAATCACAAAGATCTGCACAACTAACAGGATATGATCATGGTCCAATCCATGGATTTGCATAGGTCCTAGAGAAAGACAAGAATATTCGTGATCGATCAACACATCGACGTCTCAAGGCAGATTTGATGGAGCACATATGGCAAAAAAATGGTGGTCAGCAACAATAAAACTAGAGTTTATCAGTCCATTATGAACCTTGTATTTTTCTTTTTTATTTAAATCATCAAAATTACTTGTATTCGTAATTGAGAAGGGATCCCTTAGTACTAGCCTATTGTATGACCTCTGCATCACTACATCACAAGCTAAGAAGTATGCAGCAGTACTATTGCATTAATCCCTCGACGGAGCACAAGTGTATTGTTTCTCAGTTTTTTTTATTAAGATTTGATGCCGCACAACTAAACGCTCAACCAAAAATCCATGGGAAGGTGAAAGCAACGATTCACATGATGCAAACATAGTTTATCTTCCTGGCAAGACTTGCACAACCAAAAACAAATCATGGATTTAATCACCCGATGGAATGTAAGCAAGAACATGAAGAAGAAGGGATCAATCACCTCATCCCTGAAACCCCGACGGAGTCGACGCGTACTCGTCAAGGCACAGACGCGGAGGAGCACGGCAACGTGGACCTCGTTCAGCAAGGCGACCACCGCCAGACCATCAGGCTCCATGAGCACGACGCCATCTGCAGGCAAGGCCATGGTGGCACAAGGTCGGAGTTGCGGCACGGCGAGGTGCTCCCGCCGGTCGCAGATCTCGGCGACCGGATAAGGCATGGGCAGGAGCAGCTGTGAGGTAGACGCGGCCAAATTTCCGCGCCGCCGCTAGAGAAATTGGGGATCGAGTGAAATTAGGGATCGGGCGGAGGAACTGAGGACGCTGATTTTTTCTCGCGCGAATGACTCCATGGTTGTAGATAGGTGTCGATATTTTTTTTACATGGTGGGACCCACCGGGACCCACTTTAACACCTCCCACTCACACTAACCATTGTGAAGAGAGACTTAGCTATTGCTACCTGCACTGGGCCCCACCTTATTGTCCCCGGTTCACACATACATTGGGCTTGCCCTTACACTTGAAACTGTCAAGCAAGAAGAATGTTGACAGCTTGACAGTCAACATTCATCTTTGGGAGTGCAAATTTGTTCACCTTTAACAACGGGAGTTCATTATTTATTTATTTTTATACATATAGAATTTCCATGAGCAAACATAAATTTATAGACACTGGCATGGTGGCAAATTCAACAATTAATTGTCTTATTTCCCATGGCCAGAACCAGAGCCATAGCCATGGCCCTCACCATAGCCTGAGCCTGAACCATTTCCATATCCATTGCCTGAACCTTTACCATATCCTTCACCATAGCCTGACCCTGATCCTTGGCCATGTCCTGAGCCATGGCCTTCACCATAACCAGATCCTTGACCATAACCGTGGCCCTCACCATGCCCGTCGCCATATCCTGAGCCAGAGGCATTCCTTTGACCATGGCCTTCACCATGCCCCTCACCATATCCTGAGCCAGAGCCATTTCCTTCACCGTAGCCTTCGCCATGCCCCTCACCATATCCTGAGCCAAAGCCATTTCCTTCACCATGTCCCTCGCCATACCCTGACCCTGTGCCTGCTCCATGGCCAGAGCCATAACCTTGACCTTGACCTTCACCTTCACCTTCACCTGTTCCTTGACCTTGATTATAACCAGATCCCGAACCAGCACCAGAGCCAGCATATGAGCCTGCTCCAGAACCAGCGCTAGATCCAGCTGATGACCCTACGCTTGAACCAGCACTCGACCTTGAGCCAGACCCAGAAGCAGAGCCTGAGCCTGAACTCGAGCCTGAGCCTGAGAAAGAACCTGACCCTGAACCAGACCCAGAGCCGGAGCCACCGGCGCCACCACCTATGCCTATACTAATTCCGGTACCAATTCCAATACCACCACCGCCACCAAGGTCGATGCTTAAGTCTTTACGAGAAATTTGACTCTCAGATGCAAGAACTAGTGTAGCAAGGACAACAATGCCAAGAGCAAAAGTCTTCATATGAGACATTGTGAAACCAACAGTAGGATTATTGTAGGAACCCTAGTATTGCTTCAATGTTTTCAGATGTGTGTTTTTTCTAGTTTTCTTTCTTGCCTCCAACAACTCCTGGACATGCAAACACCAAGAGTGCAGTAGTATTTATAGAATCCAAAAGAGGGCTTCCAAAAATAATGCTTAATTTAATTTGTGGCAAGAACCTGTGGTAGTGACCATTGGACGGCAGATTTTGTTCAGTGGCACCTAGTGGAGCAATGGTGGTGTGCAGGTGTATGGCCCTTAGTGCATAGATAGTGCATTGGAGTGACACGTTTGAACTTTGAAGCATCATGCATGATACTAGCATTAGTAAAAAGGAGCACAAGACCATGCATGCATGCTGCAGATTTTACACTTGCACTCTGTACAATATTTTTCTTTAAAAAGAAATACTTGGAGCATGTTGTAGCATATGCACAGATAATAACATGTTCAACATATGATTATTTCACGTTAAGGGAGGCATGTTATTGTTTCACAGATGCCATTGAATAGTTATTAAAAAATATGAAAAGTTAATTGACAACTTATATTATACGATGCCATCACTCTACAAGCATGCATTGCTGAACTTTATTTTTCTTAGCATTCATCAAATTTTCCATGAATGTATAAAGGAGCGGCATAAATATATATATGGATCTACATCGAAATATCGAATTTTATAATTTTGTATCAATTCCAATACCACCACCGCCACCACTAAGGTCGATGCTTAAAAAAGTCTTTCCGATGCTTAAGGCCTTACCTAATAATCTGCAAAGATAAGTGAAGCGACTTTTGAAGCTCAATGAAGCATGGCATTGGAGGTTTCCAGAAGCTCTTGCTTTTAGTTGGATTGGTAATCAGTGCAAGTTCGCTTGTAAACCTTATCAAGCTGTTGGCCTATTGCAAGTCCCTTTCATTTGTCAATTTCGATTGTCAACTCTGTAGTTGACTTAAATGATTTTCCTTCTTCCATGATCATCTTAATTACTGTTGCCTGAGTAGTGGATATTCTTTCTTTTGACATTAAAGTAGCTAGATGTTCAATTACGCGGTGAACGCTCACATGCACACAAATGTGCACATACAAAAGAAAAAAAAAGAAAGTTCAACTGACAGTTAATTTAGGATTTTTTTACATCATTATGTTGCGCTTTATGTGTAATTGACCTATGATCGAAACCTTGTTGTTGACCTTGGTCTTAGAGTAAGGTATTTCAACTTAAGTTGCAAGTCAAGCATTCTGAATACAGATTTTGTAATAATTAACCAACATATTACCAAATATTATTGATTCTTATATATGCTCCTTTAGTTAGTAAAATATATATCATTACTGAGATATCCGTGTTTCTATAATAGTTACAACTTATCAATATTTTCTTAAAAAAAACTACTCCCATAACTGAATTTTATGGTAAATTGTAATACTCTTATTCTTATAGGATACCTACAAAAGTTTTTATTCAAGAGAACCATAAGTGATGGGTTATCACTTATCCCTCAGTAATGCATGAGGCTGAAGTATTCTCGGTACGATTGTATCACCTTGGTGTAATTGCTTGGTTTAAATAAAATGTTTCATTATACAGAAAAAGGTGACATTATAATGGAAGTGATTCACTACATCAAAGTAGAAAAAAAAAGAAAGTTAATGTTGGCAATGTTTTTTTTTCTCAACAGAAGTCACCAGTGGCTAAATTATGCGGATATATATGTCCACAAACATTTTGATTTCTCAAGAAATCCACTCATATACACCAGTCTTTATAGCCAAACTATACATGAGCACTTGTAAGAATCAGCTGATACATCAAACCTAATTATAATTGATGTAGTTTCAAATCATTATGTATGGTCTACCTGTATGCTAATTTCTAACATGATTAATAGAGAACCAAAGCTCACAGTAACCACAACAATCAATTGTGAACTTGCCTAGTTCTAGACTCAACTCTAGAGGCTGCACTTGATCCTACTCTAGACCCCGCACTAGAGCCTGCAAATGACCCAGCATTAGAACCTGAACTAGAGCCTGTAGAGGATGATGTACTTGAACTAGCTGAAGATCCAGCGCTTGAACCACTTCCCGATCTTGATCCAGAGCCAGAAGTTGAAGCCGAGCTTGAAGCCGAACTTGAGCTAGAGCTACTAGTACCGCCAATACCAACTCCAGCTCCAAGCCCAATCCCAAGGCCGCCTGAGCTTGACCCTGAACCAAAAGCTGAAACTGATCCAGAAGCTGATCCTAAGCCTGGACTTGATCCGGAGCCAGACACGAATGTTGAACCGGACCTTGAACTTGAGCCAGAACCACCGCCACCTAGACCAATGCCAATTCCAACTCCAAGTCCAAGGCCAAGGCCTCCTGATCCTGAGCCTAAACCAGACCCCGAACCTGACCCTGAGCTAGAACCTGAGCCAGAACCTGAGCCAGATCCCGAACCTGAACCTGAGCCACCTACTCCTAAACCTATACCAACTCCAATCCCAAGTCCACCCCCAAGGTTAATACCAAGGTCCTTCCTTGCAAAGCGGCTCTCCCCCACCGGAGCAAGTGATGCAGCAACGGCAACCAAAACTACAAAAGCAATGGACTTCGTGCAAACCATTGTACTATATTGTTTGCAACACGCAACAGCTACTATACTTCGTGCTAGTAATGGAGATGAGATGATGCAGGTGTTTGATAGACCTCATGGGAATTTATACATAGACAGAGATCAGTGCAAGATTGAGCTAGCGATGTGGCTGGTAAAGGTTTCACAGAGTGGTGTAGTTGAGTTGTGCTTGCGTGTTTGCTCTTGAGCGATCGCGTTTGCCTCGCCGTGTGCCTTTTTTTTCGCCGAGATCAAGCGGTGAGAATTTAGCACGAGTGGTGATATGTGGACAGTGGCGGATCCACCATGGGTCTCTGGGGTCTCGAGACCCCACTACCCGTATTGTAACCATGGGAGATCCCATGATGACCTCACTAAAATTTTCTGTCATACATCTATTAGAAGAGGGGGCTATAATTTTATATGGTTTGTTTAGACCCTCTTGTTAATCTTTTCTGGATCCGGAGATCCCGCCATTCCGGCCGCCGGCCGCGGCCGTGTGTAGTGTAGCTAGTGCGCGGCGGCTGGTATAGTCGTCGCTCCCGGCGAGTGAGCCAGCTATTCTTCAGCGCTGCCGCGACACGTTTGGGCGGCTGAATCCTGAAACTTGTGAGGTGTGGCCGTGTGGGATCGTCAGTGCGCAGAAAAGTTGGCGCATGCATATGCATATGATGGTGCTGCAATTCTGGAAGAAAATGACGGCCGCTTAACTCATGCAAAAAGATTGGTGTGGATTACTGGCTGATGGTAACCATGCATGCTTTAATTTGCTAGCTACGTACAAAGCAGCTGTATATCAACGTCAAATAATCATGGTCCCGTTTCACATGTGGTACTTGGACCTATGGATTTTGTTAGTAGACTTCCTCAAGTATAGCATATTAGCATACTGCATTCTCGGTTTTTCTTATTTTGTTTTTTTAAAAAAGTTGACTTGTGTGCATGACGTGCCAATTAATATGGAGTAATTAAGAGAGTCTCTCTTTAATGCTTGGACAGGGGGAAAACTCTGTTCGTGTATAGAACGACTGAGGTCGATCATCCCCTCAGTCTGAGGAAAGAGAGACAGACATAGGAGCAAATTACGGGAGGCAGTTCATGAGAATTTCCTCATTTTCGTTTGTCTGATTGACAGATTGAAGCGCGTGCATGCTCGATCAAAGTAAAAGAGAAAAGATTCATCAGCATCATTCCTGCCACTGCAAGTGTGGAAGTGTGAGAGTCCGAGCGACACCAAGTACGCATAAAAAACGGAGCGGTTCATTAGCGCGTGATTAATTAAGTTTTAGTTATTTTCTTTAAAAATAGATTAATTTGATTTTTTAAGCAACTTTCGTATAAAATTTTTTTAAAAAAATACATCGTTCATCAGTTTGAAAAACATACTTGTGGAAAACGAGAGGGAGGGGTTCTTAAAGGGGTGCCGAACACAACCCCAAGTCGCCAACTACAGCTTTCGTACTGCACGGCTGTGACAACATCGCCGTTTAAAAGAGCTACAGTACAGATTCCCAGTCCACTGGCGAGCATGAATCCCTTTGCAGGTATGGAGCTACCTGCAATTCACACATCCATTGTCCAAGATCCTGATAAAGTTCAGTCATCACCATCTCTATAGTGCATCCGGAGAGATCGATCACGACAAGTACTATTCGATATATGAATTAATCTGCCTAACTGAAGAGTCGCGAACTTTCGACATCATCACCCGATCTCTAAGAACGAGATTGCAGATCGATCGATAGATGAGATGGATCAGGTTATACCAAACCCATCACCTTAGTGCGCGGAGGACGAACGACACGCCGGCCGGTGCGTGCGTACGTTCTCCTGCAGCTACTAACCAAACCGCATGCATCGCAACCACTCCACGCACTAGCCAAATCAATCGATTCATCAATCAGGCAGGCACCTTTTTCGCGTTGCACCACCGCGCCACCATCGCGTGCTAGCTCGACCACATGATGACTTGATTCCCGGTACGTTTCGTGCACAAAGCTGAGGGTTTTTTTCCCCACGCCCGACCACCCGATCGATGCTGCGGCCATCGTCCTGTTCCTCTTGGCCTCGCGTGCAGTGCAGACCGCGCCTCCTATAAAAGCTTGCCACCACCGCGCGGCGTTTCGTCCATTGCCAGCTCGGTGAAAAAACGAGGATGGCGGGCGGCAAGGGCGGCGCGGTTGCTGCTCTAGTGGTGGTGGCGCTCCTGTGCGTGATGTCCGGTGGCTGCGTGGAGAGCCGCCGTGTGGCGAGGATGGGCCTCGACATCGGCTTGGGTAGCGGGCAGGGTATTGGGCTAGGGATTGGACTTGGGCTTGGGGTCAGAGCGGGTACGGGAGGTGTCTCTGCTTCTGGGTCTGGGTCAGGTTCCGGCTCGGTGGCTGGGGCTGGGTCTACCTCCGGGTCAAGATCTGGGTCGGTCTCGATTGGAGGGGCTAGTTCTTCTGCTGGGTCGAGTGCCGGATCGTATGCTGGGTCAGGTGGATCGGGAGCAGGGTCCTCGGCCGGGTCTAGAGCTGGGTCGGGTGGCGGATAAGGGTATGGCTATGGTGGCGGTAGTGGGTCGGGTTCAGGATCTGGGTATGGTGAGGGTGGAGGATATGGGCGTGGGTCGGGTAATGGATCAGGTTTAGAATTTGGAGAAGGGTATGGTTATGGATCTGGTTCTGGTGGAAATCCTTGAAGTGGACATGATGCTGGTGTAATAGTTACCATGCCAAGTGTATTTTCCATGTATTTTCATTTCTCTATGTGAATTAAATGAAATACAATAAATGACTATGTCTACTTTTACATAGTTCTTTGTTTAATTATTTTTGGAACTAACTATAGGGTGTAGAATGGATAATAAACTATAGTGTTTAATTAATTGTCCTCTTTGGTAATATTAAACATCATCCATATTTGGAAAAGGACGGTAAAAGTATAGGTTTGAGTAAAGATTTTACCCCTGAAATGTAGTAGATATATCTATGTCAAATTTATGTTCTGAGCACAAATCAGAAACCCGACCCCCGTGTAGCCCACGTGCAGGCGACTCGGAGGAGAAACCTAGTGCCTCCGCAATCCCTCTCCCCTCCTCTCCCACCCCTTGCCGTCGCCGGAGCACGGAAACCGAGCAGCTTAGCTAGGATGGTGGTGGTGAGGCCAAACCTCGATGGTGCTCTGCATCTTTGCGTGGAAGGTGGGTCAGCGCCAAGAGCTAGGGGATGAAAGCACGACATAGAGGCTGAGGATCCGGTCTCCCTACGGATGGATCTGGCGCCTCCGCGCTGGATCTGACAGGAGCTGTCGCGCTGGCGACGGCGGCTGGCGGCAGCGGAATGCCTCAGCAGCCGGTGGCGACGAGTGGACGACGTCCGTGAGAAGGCCGCGACGGTGGCGGTGGCAAGGCCGCGTTGGCGACGAGAACAGTGGGAAGGCCGCAACGACGATGGCCGGAAGGCCGCACCGACAACAGCGGAGGGAGGCCCGCGTGGACGATGACAACGGGGGACTCTCGTCAGTGATAGTGATGTGAGGCTCGCGTGGGCAATGGCAACAAGAGCTTGTTGTGGCTAGTGGCAAGCATGCCGGTCAGGCTTGGGGGAAGCAGGCGGCCAGTGCGGGTGAGGCCAACGTGGACGGAGGAGAATGACGGCTGTTGCGGCGAGGGGTTGGAATGGCTGCTGGAAGTGTTGGTCGGCGTGGGAGACGACATTGCGGGAGGCAACATTGGGCTAGCCCACGATGGGGCGCCGGTGTGGTGGACCTGCGAGCTGGTAGAGGTTGTTTGGGCTAAGGAGATTTAGGGTGGCAATGACAGGTTTGGGAGAGAGTGTCGCAGGAGAAAGCCTAGCTTAGGTTTTCTTGAGCTGACAATGTCGATGCCTTTGGGAGTCATGATCCCTTTAGGGGTATTGTCGAGCGGCCACCATTCCTCTACCTGGCAAGACTCGCCAAGTGAAAACCCGGTCCAGCTTGAACGACAACGGTGGCACCTAAGGTGTCATGACCTTCTTGGAGGTGTTGCCTAGGAGGTTTTGTTCCTCGCCTTTGCCGCCTTCTCTTGGTTTGGTCGCCGCCGGTTTTTGGTTGTCATTGTCAGATTGTCACCAGGGACAAGTGGATCTTCTATCCTCTCTCTCTCTCTCTCTCTCTCTCTCTCTCCAACCCCTCTACGTAAGGTTAACCGGGAACTCGTCGACGATCTTCCAGGCGGAGTCGTTGTGCATGGGGCATTTTGCAACCCTCCTTAGGTCTAGCAGTGATCGACCACGCATAGCGGCGGTCGACTTGGCGCTAGCGACTTCTCCTACTTTGTGTGAGAAGTTGCTAGTGTACGACAGCGGTGGTGTTTGTTTTTGTTTTGTTTTTTTCCTAGTTACGATCTCTCAGGGTTCTATCTTGTATTTTTCTCTGCTATATCAATATGAAACTTCGCACTGTTTGGTGCGGGTCGTTTCAAAATTTATATTTTGGGCATAAACAGTTAATGACAGTCAGTTTCTAATTAGCTTTTTCAAAAAAGAAAAAAATTAAGGGCAGAAGATCTGACATTCATTTCAAGAGAGAAGTATTTTTAAGTACAGTATTGGACCCCAACCAAGAATACAAGATACCCGAAAGTATTTTTAACACATAGGATATGCATGTGGTATAAATAATTAAATAAAGATGTTTTTTTAAAAAATGTAAGATGCATTGCGATCATATAAGTTAGTACACAAACATGCGCATGTTTGTGCCTTTGTTTACAAATTGATCTACACTTACAAAACAAAAAACAACAAATTATGTCTGTGTTTTGTAGTGTCCAATGTTATTGTTTTATAGTTTCTTCAAGTATAGATTATATTAAGCTATGTATGGTTGTATCTTTTATATTTCTAGCATTATACTCCGTAATCAATCTAGTCAGATTTTTTTTTCAATTTTTTCTATGACTATATTTAGTCAACATGTAAGTAATGAGCGCAATCACATCTATTGTTCAACATGCATGTTGGACTAAACTCTGGCAGTCGGCAGTCGTAAGAGCACCAACACCGTTTAGAAGACTTCCAAACAGGCAAACAGCTTTATCATTGCCAAGCTCGTATAGTATTTGGGTGAGGAGGTAATCAACACTGGCAGTCGGCAGTCCTAAGTATACAAGTACAAGGTGGGTGAGTTAGCCTCAAACTAGTACATATGACGATGACCACCATGCTTTATCTTTGCCAAGCTCGTATAGTATTTGGTGATTTGTTATATTTGTATAGTTACAGATTCTTGTTCCTATATTATTTACTCAACCAATCACAGTTCTTTTGTTCTTTGGTGTTGCAAGATCTTCAGAATCCTCCTTATGTGACCTGAGCATCTAATATATTGTTTCTAAAACTGATTTTTAAGGATTTTAGGTGAAAAATTGGATCCAACATATCCTTTTATTTTTTTATAAAATTTAGGCTTTTCTTTTAAAGTGATCAGTTTATTTACTCGTTAGTTTAACAGAAAGATCCAGATCAATTTATTTACTAGAAAACCTAAAGACATTTTTTTAGGAGGTGATTAGTAATCTCTTGGTTACGCTCTGTAAGCACTCCCCTAACGACTAAAAACACGATTACACTTACGTACAAATAAACTTGGTTTGACCGTTTGAGGCATTTAATTTGATTTCTGTGTCAACGCTACAAAGTTTTCACTTGTGGGCTGCCTGTGGCGTCCATCTTGATGACTTATAAACGATACTAGCTAGATGCGTGGAAAAACCGATGGAATTTTGTGAGCACAAAAGTCTACCACCTAAATTCTGCTTTACAGGAGGTTTAACCTTTTCCCTCAAAAAAAGGAGGTTTAACCTGTCACCTGTCAGTGCTAGCTCTGCAACAGGCAGCGGACAGCATGAGCACCGGCTAAATCCAGCAGCGCGGGCAGCGGGCGAGAACGTCGCGGCCGGCGGTGGCGACGAATTACCGGTCAGAACCCCGTGCGACGGACCAGCCGGCTAGCCGTGGTCACGGTCGTCGCTGCCTGCGCCGAGCACACGGCAACACCCAACATCCCGCGGCGGCGTCCGTCCTGCACCGGCATATTATCCGGCAGGCGCATCACGATTTTTCACAGGTTCACAACAACTCTCCCCACTAGCTTCCAATCAACCAGACAACAACCACATATATCTTTCTCCCCCTTTTTTTCTCCTAATCACCCACCACCGCGACATCTCAACCTCGATGAGTCGCGGTTTGCCCACAGTTATTAGCCAGTAGGCACTAGGCGGCAGTATGGCCGGAGCCACACGACGTCAGTACGTTCGGCGCAAAGGTTGACTCCCATGGCCGGATATTGATCGCGTCAGCTTCCACTTGCGTTGTTCTTTGCGGCTTCTCCTCCTACATAAGCAACGCTAGCATCACTGCATCTGCACACACTGCACTTGCCTTCTAGCTTGCAGAGGCACACGCTATCTAGCTGAAAGAGTACAGTGATTTTGCTCATCAAGTAGTGGTTGTGACTTGTGAGGATGGCGAGAAGCAAGGCCTGCAATCTGGCAGCTGCTCTGTTGCTGCTGTTGATGGTGGCCTTCATGTGCATGTCCTCCGGTGTACTCGTGGAGGGCCGGCCGGTGGCGAGGAGGGAGGACCTCAGTATTGGGTTGGGTGGTGGTGGCGGCGGTGGCAGTGGTGGTGTTGGGATTGGGGTAGGTGTTGGGGTCGGAGTTGGGTTGGGACCCGGCGGCGTGTCCGTTTCTGGGTCTGGTTCAGGGTCTGGCTCGGCGGCTGGGGTTGGGTCCACCTCTGGATCGAGGTCTGGCTCGGTCTCTGTAGGAGGGGCTAGTTCGTCGGCTGGGTCTAGCGCAGGTTCCTCCGCTGGGTCAGGTGGATCAAGGACGGGATCCTCTGCTGGATCTTCAGCTGGATCTAGTGGCGGATCAGGATTAGGCATCGGATTTGGGCAAGGGTCTGGATCTGGGTCTGGCTTGAGCGGAAACCCTTGACATTTTCACCATGTTATTTCGTTATGATGGGTTAATTAGACTGCAAAAGAGTGTTTCTTTCTTTGTTGTGAGAGAGATGCAAAAGAGTGTTTCTACACTTAGAAGTTTTAGTAAATCAATAAGATGTCTCCACTAAACATGCAAGATCTTTGGCCTCCCTCTTCCAGCTGTAATCCGTCAGTAAAGAACAGGAGAGAAAAGAAGTAGGGATTCGATTAGTGAATTGCAATTGTATTTGTACAAAATGTTTAGTTTGCTAAAATGCACAAAACAAACTAAAAACATGTTTATTAGTTTAACCTGCAAAGAACGTCATTCCCAACTAGCCCATTTATACCTTCTCCGTGCCAATCTTTCTTCGACATGGTTGAGAGCTCATACCTTCAACAAGACAAGGCTGAAAAAGTTCGGCCTAAAACTTATTAGGAAAAAGTCCACTTTAACTCCCTTAAATATACACCGAATCTAATTCGTACCCCTCAACCAGAAAACCGGTTAGGACGACTCCCCCAATTACTAAAACCGGTATAAATTGACTCCCTAAGTGGTTTTTGAGGATGGTTTTGCTGACGTGGCATGCTGACTTGGTCTATTGTGCTGACGTGTCAGCCCAGTCACCAAAATACAGATGAGGCCCACATGTAAGTGATAGGAGAAAATATAAAAAGCGTAGGGCCCACTTGTCAGCCATCTTCTCCCTCTCTATCTTTTCCCCCAAATCCCCCAAAAAGAAACAGCAGAGCAAGCGGTCGAGGAAGCCGAGCGCGTAGTTGCTGTGCGGGCACTGCACTGCACATTGTCGCAGGTGTAGACGAGGGTGTGGTTGTTGCTGCTCAGCATCAGCTCTGGCTCGCTCCTCTCCTGGTACTGTGCAGCCGCGTCGCCGGACCCGGACGGCCCCGCCAGCGGCCTCGCGCCCGGCGGCGACAGGTCCGGCAAGCACTTCGCCGACCGCTTGCTCCCGAACCGCCCCGGTGCTGCCGCTGCTGCCGGCTTGAGCGTGCCCCTGCCGCGGATGAGCCGGTGGATTCCGAGGTCCGCCAATAGCGGCTCCATGTCGACGTCGAGCAGGATGTTGCTCGGCCGGACGTTGCCGCACGAACTTCTTGTCGTGGAGGAAGGCCAGCCCTCTCGCCATGCCGCGGGCGATGCGTCGTCGCTGCCGATCCTGCGCACAGCCAGCACGGCGCCGTCGTCCAGCACCGCCATGTACACGATGCTGCTGCCCGCCGCGCCCAGGATGTACGCCGACGCCTTCAGTAGCGTCTCCATCTCCAGCTCCACGTCGCCGTCCACCGTCACCAGCACCGCGCCGCCGCCGCCACCGTCCTTGGCCTTCTTGCCGCCACATCGTCCGTCTTGGCGGCGACGACGCCCTCCTTGGTGGCGAAGGACGCCGACGTGTCAGTCACCTCCTCCGTGTCGTCGCTCTCGTCTCCGGCACTGCACCGGCGCCGCGCACGGCAAGAATTATGCCATTTCTCCCCTCGTCGAGTGTACAAGAACTCCGCGGCGTGTCGAGGGACAACTCCGGCTGTCACGCCCAGAAATTCACAAACCAGAATTTCTAAGCTGAATGTGTATTAAACCCCTGTCTAGGACCAGCCAGGGTACACAAACGACAATTGTTGACATACAGATCCACGTCTTACAAAAAAAAATAAAAGATTACAAATGCAGCGGAAAAGATAAAAGCGAGCTAAACCGGGAAGCTTGACTTCAGCAGCGGGCGATTCCATTCCACAGGCATCCTTGACGGCAGCGACGAAACCAACCTCTTCGAGACATCTTCAACTGAGAAGGACTTCAACTCTGGTGTGGGGGAAAAGAGAGCAAGACTGAGTACTACCCACTGTACTCAGCAAGTCATACCGGAAGAGGAGGTATGATGCAAGATATATCCAAGAGAGGCTAAAGGTTCTTTTGCATAAAGCCGGCATTTCAGAGCAGCAGTTGGAAGCAGTAAAACAGTTGTAGTAATTAATCCATATTAACCAATCACTGTCCAACGTTACACCACGTTGCAACAGGCCCAAACCACCACCTGAACCAACCAGTTCCAAAAGCTAACTAGGGTGAAACTAATCACGGTGAATCTGGTCGACCGCCCATAACCGCGGGCACGGCTATTCGAATAGTTTTACTCTGATCAGAGGTGTACAACTGTACCCACAAGACACAACCCCACGACACGTTCCCGTGCGCCGACATGCCACCACGACATACCGGAAAGAGGCCGTGACAGGACCCTTCGCATAACCCTCTCTAACCGATCGCACCACACCTTAGGGTTCGCCCCCGTCCCCAGCAGGCAACGGGCAGCCCCCCTTTCGTTCCGCGGTGAATCCGGAAGCCGATCAACCGGACACCCCGGCCGACCCAACTCCATCACGCCCACCCTCGCCTGGGTACGTCGGCTAGAGAAAAGCTACACTACAAGCCCAGCCGTTGCCCACGCTGGCTTGTGGTAAGTACGATAAGTTCTTCCAGGGCATCCCGCGAACCGGTCCTTAATCGCCATGGGCACGTCTAGCAAAACCATGCACCCACAGCCCACCATGTAGTGTATTTTAATTAACCAACACCATTGCGGTGGCACTAATCCAAAGCTATTGCCAATAATCAAAGTCTATGCTTTAATGTGGTCCCCTTTTGTGCACTAGTTGAACTAAGCATGGCTAAGCATCTCCTAAACCAACATCTAGTCATTTTAATACCCAAGTTATCAATGGCGTAAGGGAAACAACATATAGCTGAGTAATAGGACCCATCCCACATGATATTGTAAAACAATGCAATATTTAATAGAAATGCGGGACATTTGTAAATTAGGTACAATATGATCAATTGCAATGTATGACTTGCCTTGCTCTCGCACTGATGGAACCACAGCAACGTCTTCGAGAAACCACGAATCGACGAAACGACCGAAATCTACGCGACAAACAAAGCACACAAGCAAAACATGCTATAAGACTACTGAAACAGAGAACAAAGCCATTTCTAATGGATTCTACACATTTTTATGAATTTACTGAGACTTGAGTGGACTTAATCGGAGCTCGGATGAATTAGTTATGATTTTTAGAAGATTCTCTGTGTTTTTACTATTAAAGAAAAGCCTTAATCAATTTATTGCGCAATATTGCCCCAGGGCTGACGTCAGCAAGGGAGGGGAGGCGCCGGCATGCGGGACCCACTGGACAGAGGCACAGGAGAGAGGGAGAGGGGGCGGCTGGCAGGCGGGACCCACCGGGCAGCGTCACAAGGGGGGGGGAAGCGGCGAGGCGCCCGGCATGCGGGACCCGCGGGTCAGTGACTCACGGAGAGAGAGGGGCGGCTGGCAAGCGGGCCCCACCGAGCGGCGGCTCATGGGGAGGAGGAGACGCCCGGTCGGCTCGGCTCGGCCTCAAACCGGCCGACCGGTTATGGCGAGGTCGGTGGCGCGCACGCACGGTCGCCGGCGACGGCAACCGGAGGCGCGGGAAGCGGCGGCGGATGACGGCGGCGCGAAGGCGGCGGCACACAGCCGAAGCGGCGGCTCGGCCCGGCACGGCGCTAGGAGGGAGAGAAAGGGGAAAAGAGGGGGAGGGGCGCCTCACCGCGAGTTGGCCGGTGTGGGGGGAAGACGACGGCGAACGGCGACGGCGAGCGACCGGGGAACGGCGACGATAGGCGGACGAGCTCCGAGACCTCCTAGGGAACAAGATGGGAGGGATTAGAGGGAGAGGGGTGGTTAACGGCGAGCGGATTTGCCGGTCGAAGGCGGCGGCCATGGGGGTACTCACCGGCGCGCGAGGAGAAGCAAGCTCCGGCGGCGGGATTGACCGGGGAAACGGCGGACGGGGTGGCGCACAAGCTTGCGAACCCGGCGGCGTCGACGGCGCGGTGCGGCGACGGCTCTAGCGGTGGCGGAGTGCGGCCGGAGCTTGGCGGCGAGCGGCGGATGGCGGGATGAGAGGCGCGGGAGCGATGGAGAGCTCGGGAGGGCTCGGCCGAGAAAGGAAAAAGAGAGAGGAAGGTGCGGGCGTGCTTAAATAGGAGGGGGGGCAGCGAGTCGTGGCCGGGAACGGCGCAATTTCGCCGGAGTAGTGGAGGAGGTGGAGGAGGAGAGAGAGAGAGGTGGGATTCAAATTTGAATCCCGGCCATCTCGCGGGCGCGGGGGTGAGCGGGAGTGGGGCGTGGGCGCGGGGAGGGCGGGGCGCGCGGGGGAGTGGGCGACGTGGCCCGGGGCGGCAGGGAGCGCGGGCGGTAGGGAGGAGGGAGGCCGCCCCTCCGGCTGGAGGTTGGGGAAGGGGCTGACAGGTGGGCCCCACCTGTCAGCGCCCGAGGGAGTGAGGGGGAGGCGACCTGGACTTCGGGGGGAGGCGGGAGAGATGGGCCGGCGGCCCAAAGGAGGAAAAGAGAGGGAAAAAAAAGGAAAAAGGATTTTCCCAGGGATTTAATATTTGCACTTTGCTTATTTTAATTGGTTAAAATTATTTCCAATGCTCTGAAAATTCCAGTAAAAATCCTGTTAGCATATTTTGACATGTAGAATCCAAGAAAAATTCCACATGTCGATTCCGATTATTATTTGCATTTATTAATTAGGGATTCATCTCTAGGTTAAATTAAACAATTTCTTCGGACGATTTATTTTATGAATTTAGAGCAAGGGAGGGGAACTTCAGGGCATGACACCGGCGCCCTCCCAATGACCTTGACCTTGGCCGGCGCCGGTAGCCGCATCCAGCACCCGAACTTCCCACCGCTGCCGCCGCCGCCACTACCGGCGGTGGCGGAGTGTTAACAACATCGCATCAACACGGAGGTGGAGCTGTACCGCCACGGCAGCCGCACCCGGCTCCCGATCTTCCCACCGCTGTCGTCGCCTCGCTGTAGGATACACGACAGGAGCGACCGCGGCGACTGGCAGCTCTCGATGCCGCCGCTCCGCCCGGCCTTCACGCCGGCCTTCTCCACCCACCGCCGCCCACGGCTTCACGGCTTCGCGCACTCCCTTGGCGCCCTCCACTCCGCTCCCTCGCCGCCCTCTGCTCCGCCATCCGTGCCCTCGGCAAGCTCTCCGCGCTGCTCGCCGACGGGAAGAGAAAGAGAGAGATAAGGGAGAAAGAGGGAGGCAGAAAGGTTGGAAAGAGAATGACATGTGGACCCCACAAGTCAGTGGATCCTATTATAATTTTTGTGTGTGAATGACAAATTGGTCCCACGTATATATTTTTAAATCTAATCTTACATCAGTGCCACGTCAACGCCACGTGGGACGAAGACCAATTCAACAACGCCACGTCAGCAAAACCGCCCTTGAAACCGCTGAGGGAGTCTATTTGTACCGGTTTTAGTAATTGGAAGAGTCATCCTAACCGGTTTTCTGGTTGAGGGGTACGAATTAGATTCGGTATACATTTAAGGGAGTCAAAGTGGACTTTTTCCAACTTATTTTACTAACTTGTTACGGCGGCATATGCTCGGCCCAATCCTACGCACGCGTCCATCTGTGCAAGGCAAAAGTCTACTTCTGAATCCTCTTAACTATATGTCCAGTTCCCTTCGCATGCCTCACTGCAAAACCGGTTATAATGCATCCTCCAACTTCTAAAACTAGTACAATTCAAGTCCTCCAGAAGTTTTGATTGACTTAGCACCTACATGGTAATGGTATGTTGATCCGATCTTTATCTGCCGTGAGTTGTGACAGCTATGTGGCACTTATTTACGATGGCCCCAGATGTCACATGGTGGTTTTCGCAGCTCAAGCTCGTTGGGCGCCACCGTCGTTGACTCCTCGCTTCTTGTTGGGTGACCAAAGAAGCGCGCGCGCCGGGCGGTCAGAGTCAGGGAGCACCGTGACGTCGGAATCGGCCGACGGTGGGAGAATGTTGGAGAGTGCGAGGATGCGGTACCTCGCCTGCGAGACTGAGTATCATAATCGAAGGGGAATCTAGTCCGCGTCACGCCATTGATTCATAAATCATTACTACTGGAGTGAAATTAGTACTCCCTTCCCCCCTCCTCGAGCTCCCTGGCATACCGGCGAGCGTGTGCAAGAGAGAGATGGCCGGCAACCGCTCTTCTCCATCTCCGCCGCCGTCGTCGTCGCCGGCCGCGTCTGGTCCCCCCCCCCCCCCCCCGAGCGCAAGAGAGAGATGAAGAAAGGGGAGATGGGGAGAGAGGAGGAAGAAGAGGGGTGAGTAGACTGACTTGTGGGGCCCACGTGGGTCCCACCATTTTTTTTTATTGTGTGTGTGAAAATGATATGGGGTCCCATGTGTTTTATTTTTTTTTCTGGATCGAATTGCCACATAAACGCCACGTCAATGCCACATCAAATGAAGACCGAGTCAAACTAGCCACATAGATGCCATGTCTGCCAAAACCGCAATCTAAACCACCGAGGAATTTTGTGTGCACCGGTTTTGATAGTTGAGGGACATGTTATATATGGTTTTCCGGTTGAAGGACGAAAATCGGATTCGTTGAGATCTCAGTTGAACTTATTCCAATCAAGGATCACGCATTCACGTTCACGCCCACGATCGTAACAGCGATGGGCATATATCGGCCAGTCCATAATTCCGATACGCAGGCCTTAGGCGGCCTGGAATGTGGCAGGCCGACAATCGGCCCTGTTTGGGCTGTGAAATTATCAGAGAGGGACGAGCCTATTTGGGCCGCGTGTTCTGACGGCCCAACGTGAAAGAGGAGCCTGACCATAACACGGTGGAACACTGGAAGGAAAAAGTACACCGAAGGTCCCTCAACTTATCATGGAGTTACAGAATCGTCCCACAACCGCAAAACCAGATATATAACATCCCTCAACTTACAAAAACATTTACTTTAGGTCCTTCGGTGGTTTTGAACCCGGTTTTTTCCGACGTGGCAGCGTGGGACCCACGTAGACCCCACATGTCAGCTTGTCCACATCAGCCCTCTCTCTCTCTTTCCTCTCTTCTCTCTCTTCCTCCTCTCTCAAATTCTTCTCTGGGCAGACCGGCCTACGAGTGGATAGGAGGACGGCAGTGCGAGGCAGGAGAGGAGGAGGGCGTCGGCGGCCGGCGACGGGCGACGCGGCGGTGGCGGCGAGGCGGCCGGCGATGGGAGATGCTGCGGGGTCGAGCGAGCCATGGAGCCGTGGCGTCAAGGTGGAGCAGTTGGGTGCGGGCGGCGGCCGGCGGGGGAGCAGCTGGGCACGGGCGTTGGATCCACACGCCGGCGGCGCCCGCACCCTCAGCCGCTGCAGTTCCCGCCCGCCTCAGCCACCTCCGTCTTTGCCTGTCACTGCCGCATGGTGGATCCCACCTCCAGGATGCGCATCCGCCCAGCCAGGGATGGCCACATTGCGGCGGTCGTCGACGCCTCAAACGGCAGCGAAAGCTGGGCCGCGGCGTCAGCGGAGGAGCATCCCTCGTCGCGGTCAGATGAGCAGTCGGAGGAAGCCGACGAGGATGGGGACGGCAACGCGGAGGCCGTGGGCGCTGCTGTGCTCCTCTTCTCGCCCCCACCGCCGGCTGTGGCTGTAGCGACGTTGTTGTTGTTCCCCTCGTCGGACGCGGGGGCGGCGGCGGCGGGGACGTAGCGGCGTGGGAGAAGCCGCGTCGCCCGTCGCCTGTCGCTTGGAATTTGTTGCTGCAGTTCATCAAGGCTGGCTTCTATGCAAAGGCTTCCCCATCATTTCCTGAATTCCCTCCGAACAAAGAAGTCCCTTTCCAAAAAGGTTCTAGCTATTCTGTTTTTTGTGATTGTTCATTGTTTAGTTTCATTTCTTTTCTTCCATGATGAGACCATGATTAAGGAGTTAAGCATTTATATTGCAGGATGTTGTGGGCATAAGTACAAGTGGAGGTTTGAGAAGCTAAAAGAACATATACAATGAGATATCGATGCTGAAAATGAAGCGTATGAAAGGTATACACAGAATGTTGGGTTACTGGAGGAAACGTTTGGTCTTACGGAAGATGCTGTTGATGAACCTGAAGCTGAAGCAACTTCTTCAGAACAGAGGATGGAAACATTGGTTTCCGAAGCAAAGGTGAGGCTGAAATCACCGCCGCCGCCTCGCCGCGTCATCAGTGATCTCAGATCAAACCACACTCACTTAAATCTTTTCCGTTTGCTGATCTTGCTCGCTCTCGAGCTTTTCTTGCCGCCAATGAGGTCGTCTAATCCATGGCGTGCGTGTGTTGGGTGTGTGGTTTGCACGTGAGCGTGCCGAGCAGTAGCCTGTTCAAGACGGTGATGGTGCGGTGCGGCCACTGCAGCAGCCTCCTCACCGTCAACATTAGGGGCCTCCTCCTCCCGACCAGCGCCGCCGCCACCGTCGCCACCGCGCCACCACCTCCACCCCCGCCGCCGCCGCCGGCGGCCGCGCACTTCCCCCACTCTCTCAACCTCGCGCCGCCGGCCAACCCTCCCCACCACCACTCCCTCCTGGTACTAGCCAGCTAGATAGCTTGCATGCATCAATGGCTGCTTCTGCATGGCGATCAAGATTGAGCCACCCTGTGTGTTGCGTTGCGTGTGCTTGCAGGATGAGATATCGACGGCGAGCTCCCCGACCCAGCTGCTGGCGGCCTGATGGCGAGCGCTGCAAGCTGCAGGAACAACGTCTGCAGAAACAATAAGAAGATGATCGCCTTCCTCCGCTGGGCGCTCCACCCCCCCTTCCTTCTTCCGCGCCTGGCACATCGGCGTCCGCGCCAGGGAGTCCAAGAAGCGGGTCGCCTTCATCTTCGGTGTCCCCGCGAGCATCCGCGCACGCGACGACGTCGTCCGCATGGCAGTGATCAACTTCCTCTGCGTCCACAAGAAGCTCCGATCCAAGCGAGAAGAGAGGAGAGAGGAAGGGAGAGAAGAAGGAAAAAGAGAGATGATGACGTGTCATCCTAACATGTGGGACCCACGTGGGTCCCATGCTGACTCAGCCGTCACGTGAGACAAAACCGGCGTCAATACTGCCCTAGGACCTCGGGTGACCGGTTTTGTATAGTTAAGGGATCTTATATATCTGGTTTTACGGTTCAAGTACGTATTTTTATCTGGCTCACAAGTTGAGGGTCCTTCGGTGTACTTTTTCTAACACTGGAATTGGATGCTACGAACAGCTGAAAAAGTGTGTCCGTTTTGAGACTGAGGCCTGGTTTAGTTCCCAACTTTTTCTTCAAACTTTAAACTTTTTCATCACATCAAAACTTTTCTACATACAAACTTCTAACTTTTTCGTTCATCGTTCCAATTTCAATTAAACTTCTAATTTAGCCATGTGATGGTTGATGTGTGTGTGGGTTGGGGGGAGAAGCCAGCCCGCCCAAAATCTTTTCACGCTGTCACATCAAATATTTGAACACATGCATGAAATACTTAATATAGACGAAAAAACTAATTACACAGATTGCGTGTAAATTGCGAGACGAATCTTTTAAGCCCAATTGTAACATGATTTGACAATATGGTGCTACAGTAAACATTTGCTAATGACGGATTAATTAGGCTTAATAAATTCATCTCGCAGTTTACATGCGGAATATGTGATTTGTTTTGTTATTAGACTACGTTTAATATTTCAAATGTGTGTCCGTATATCTGATGTGACACGCGGAAACTTTTCACCCCTGGAACTAAGGCCATGTTTAGATCTCACCCCAAAATTTTTCACCCTATCACATTATACGTTTGAACACCTGCATGAAGTATTAAATATAGACTAAAAATAACTAATTGCACAAATTGCGACTAATTTGTGAGACGAATCTTTTAAGTCTAATTGCTCCATGATTTGACAATGTGGTGCTTCAGTAAATATTTGCTAATGATGGATTAATTAGGCTTAATAAATTCATCTCGCAGCTTACTGACGGATTCTGTAATTAGTTTTTTATTAGTGTCCGAATACCCCATGCCACACCCTATATAATACTTGATGTGACATGCCAAAATTTTACACCCCTGAATGTAAACACCTCCTAGCCTGTGTTTAGTTTCTAAAAAAAGTTGAAAGTTTGAAGAAAGTTAGGAGTTTAGAAAAAAAGTTAAAAGTTTATGTGTGTATGAAAGTTTTTAATGTGATGGAAAGTTGGGAATAGGGGAGAAACTAAACCCGGCCTAAGCAAAAACAAAAATGCAAGCACATGTGAAATGGAGATTTGTGGACATATTCTAGGGAGACCTAGCTGAAGTCAAGCGTCAATATCATCGGTATCAGGACACCACGCGTATGAGCGATCCGTATTCATTGCTTCGGAAAATGAAAGGTGTGCTAAGAATGAGTCAACTAACTTATAAATCTTCACATCAGCTTTTGTATGATGTGGAAGAGAGAGAAGATAAGGAGAGAGAGTGCACTATCTCTTCTTCAAGAGCTAAGCTCCTAAACAAAATGTGAGAGTGGTTGTGGAACCCAAAGCATTTTGAACAATGTGCTACGAGACAACCTATTAAAAGATAGACTTTTTACTATTTCTTGTATGAGGTGGACAAACATGAGCTAGTACCCTAGCTCAACCATTGAATGAGAGGCCTAATGCTCGCTTGACGAATTCAGACGAAGCAGGTAGCAGCAGCGTGAGAAGCTGGTACTCACAAAGCTTATAAAACTAGCGTTTCATCGCTTGGTGCACACAAAAAGGTTGGTCAGATCAATCATCAACCGGACCTCGTGCAGCAGCCGCTCGATCGGCGACTCGGCGTTGTTCCAGTCAAACAACCCCGTGGGTTGGCTTCATACCTGCAACTGCAACTGCGCCTCGCGACTCCTGAATCTGTACGCCCAAAAGAAAGTTTGCGATGCAGATTAATACTACTACTGTTCAGCAACGATTTTTTGTGATCTCTGATGCCTTGGAAAGTTCTGTCTGCACAAGATCTTTCTTGCCCACGTACCATTCGCGCGTGGTTGCCATAAGAACTGGTGATCCTCTTTTTTCTACCCCTGCATTTGTCACTCTGTCTGCATCTTGGGGTAGACTGACCGACGTAAGGTTGGGCGAAGTAATTTGCAGAAGTAACACTGTAACTGACGGATCATACTGTGAAGCAGTGCAGGACATTTCTTCAGCGCGTCGATGGAACACAAAACGGTCGCTCTCATCAAATGGTCGGCGGCGCTTATCTGCGTTCATCACGTCGTCGCCAATTTGAAAACTGCCAACAATTTGAGAACGACCCAAACGCGTAAATGGTGGTACTGGTTTCCCTGCTTTGCCGAGTACCAGCAGCCACGAAGAACGTTACACAATCGAGTACAAAATCTATAAGAGCAAGTTTAATAGCATAGCCAAATACTACCTCTAAATCATCTATAGCCAATTTAATAGTTCATTTATTCAATAATTACTTATAAACATATACTACAATCATTAATATATGGTCTTACTTCTTATACACATAATATTTTGGAGTCCGTGTTACAGCTGGCTATAAATATAAGGGATTTTGGTTGGATGTGGTACATCCTATTATAATGAATCTAGACATGAAACCTGTCCAAATTCATCGTGCTAGGATACGCCACATCTAACCAAAATCTCTTATCTTTAGGGATGGAGAGAGTAATAATTAAATGAAGCTAGGTAGAGTTTCCCGGTCAATACGCTTGCGTGTGCTTATAAGAGCATGGCCAACAGTTTCCCGATACTCTTCCCAATATCAGTTTTGAGGAGTTTTGTTGGAAAAAATCGCTCCAACAGTAGACCTAAATCACCCCTAAAAGCTTGGCGTTTCCAAACCCGCATATTTCGTTCTCCACTTGTAGGGAAGAGACTCGGCGCCCAATCCTTCAACCGCATGCACTTCGCGCGCGCTGTGTGAAAATTTTCCTACCAGGTTCTTCTTTGTGCGTTCGTCTACCTGTGAGTCAATCCATCACGCCAGCAGCCTCATCTTCCCCGCAGCTGTCTGGGAAAGCAGCCATGGCTCCCCCAAGCTTCCCCAGCGTCGACATTTTTTTCTCAGCGGCAGCGCCAGACCCATCTCCAACCCAATTGGGCGGACCTTCGTCGGCGCTCCCCCAGCACCACCACCGACTCGAATCGGCCGTCGCCCCTATTCATCTCCAATCGTCCCTCGACCCTACCGCATCCTGCAGCACAGCCTGTCTCTCGCGTCAGACTGGCGCTGCGCTCCCCCCGGTAATGTGCAGGCGACAAAGGCCCCATGCGATGCGACCAGCAGCCGGCGACAACCGGAGGTGCCCAGTCGCTGGCCTTCATCGAATCATCGTGCACCTCGGTCGGAGTCGATTTCTGATTGTTGCTGCTGCTCAAATCTGGAGCTTGCTATTGCTGAGAACTGCTTGGTGGTGGTACTGGAAATTTGTTGTTTGCTGGCTGATGAAAACTGTTGTTCTTTGCTGCTAAAAACTGCTGCTTGCTAGTACTGAAAAGTACTATTGCAGCTGCTGAAATATCTTGCTGCTTGCTGCTGAAAACTTCAAGTTGTTAACACCGTTCACACTAAAAAAGCTGAAATTTTTTTTCTGGGCTGAAAACCCCATTGTTGATGATTGCAGAACCAATATTTTTCCATGTAAAATACAGGAGATCGTGGTAATAATCAAGTGAAATATCATTTTGGGGCAAATACTCAGATCGTACCTGAAGCCAATGGAAACATTGTTCAATGCTTAAACTGTCAGTTATGATGTCAAAGAGATTGATCACTGAATGTCCTGAAAGGAGCCGTGAGGAGGATGCAGCATTGCAGCGTGCGCGAGCGTGAGTGGAGGAGAGGAATGACGATTCTGTTGGTAGTTGTCGATGTGGCCTACTTTTTTTGTTTTGAGGATTAAATTTTGGGAATCTCTTGGAGATAAAAGGTATTCTCATACCTTAAATCCTTTTTAGAGATCTAAAAAAAATGATTTAGGGGATTGAATTTTGGGTGGCTGTTGGTGATGCTCTAAGTTGCACATCCTGGGGAAAAACCTCCCTAATCCATCAGCAAACCGATCAACCACCCACGACAAGTCGACGCCACCGTTTTTTTTTTCTCCCTCCTAAGTCCTAACCCCACAAAAATCCCGCGAACTTTCGTCTCACCACGCGCCGCGTGCCCCCTACAAATACCAAACAACACCCACCACGTCCACTCACAAACCACGCAGGAAACCTCAGAAAATCACCGTACGCGACGCGGGCCCAAGAAAACCCCGACAGAAACCGCGCAGCAGCAACACCACCACCGGCGTCGGAGATGGCGTTCCGGCTGAGCAACAGCCTGCTCGGGATCCTGAACGCGGTGACGTTCCTCCTGTCGGTGCCCGTGCTGGGCGGCGGCATCTGGCTGGCGACGCGCGCCGACGGCACGGAGTGCGAGCGCTACTTCTCGGCGCCGGTGATCGCGTTCGGGGTGTTCCTCCTCCTCGTCTCCCTCGCGGGCCTCGTCGGCGCCTGCTGCCGCGTCAACTGCCTCCTCTGGTTCTACCTCGTCGCCATGTTCGTCCTCATCGTCGTCCTCTTCTGCTTCACCGTCTTCGCCTTCGTCGTCACCAACAAGGGCGCCGGCGAGGCCGTCTCCGGCAGAGGGTACAAGGAGTACAGGCTCGGCGACTACTCCAACTGGCTGCAGAAGCGGATGGAGAACAGCAAGAACTGGAACAGGATCAGGAGCTGCCTCCAGGACTCCAAGGTCTGCAAGAAACTGCAGGACAAGAACTGGGATCGGACCCAGTTCTTCAAAGCCGACCTCTCCCCGCTCGAGGTAACAACAATTTAACAGCAAGTTGTTCGCTTCAGTTTCTGAATTTTTACCTGAACAATTATACCGTTTCATCATCATCAACAACAAAACGGAGATTAATTGCAGTTGATTAGTCGTCGCGTACTTGTTCCAATTGAAAAACAGTTGACATTTCACGTGTTGTTCAATCGTTTGTGAGGATAAGAAGGAAACTGCTAGTGTCACTGTCAAAGAAACAGAGTTTTGCGAGAGTATATATCTTATCTAGGGGACGATGTTAACGTGTACGGTTGCACCAGTAGTAAACCACGGGTAGTATTTTTCTAATGGAAATTAATTCTGATAAGGTCATTTGGGTGCATTATTAGCTACGCAAACATCGTTTCTTTTTTATCTGTCATACTGCTCACGTACTGTTTATAAGAGTACCTGAAAACAATAGCCTAAAATATGAATCATTCTCAAGAAATACAGATTCAATTGTCGCATAGTCGAATAATCAGAATAATTTTTTGAAAAAAAAACATATTTGGAATGCTTAGATTAGGAATCACTAGGCATTTTATACTGCTTCATGACTCGTGGTGATATTGTCAACGGGAGGATTAGACTATCTTGTGGTGGAGTTTCTTCAACTCAAAGCATGCCTTTTCTCTGAACACTTCCCAAAGTTCTGACCATCAAGGGGAAAAATTTATTGGCGCCATCTTCAAAATTCAACGGTCCGGTGCCCTTTCACCAAACTTTTAGGTCGCAAAACTCAACTGCCTCACGAAAATTTCCATTTGATAACTATCGGAACAGAGTATTCTATCGGAAGATGTCTGAAATTTTCAGTCCTGAAATAGTAGCACACGTTTTCTAATATCCACTTTAAACCATTTGATCTGTATGAGTAGGTTAAGAAAGAATTATATAACTGCAATATTATGAAAACCATGTTCCATGAGAAATATAACTGAAAACTTTGAAGTAATCATACAAAGTAGAATTTGCACATAATTCTGGTAAATTTTGGTGTGTGTTGATACAATTCTGAACTGATCAAACCTCACATCTCTTTCCTTCTCATCTGCGTGCAGTCCGGATGCTGCAAGCCACCCAGCAGCTGCAACTTCCTCTACGTCAGCGGCACGAACTGGACGAAGGTGCCCACCAACTCGTCGGACCCGGACTGCAACACGTGGGTCGACGACGGCACGCAGCTGTGCTACAACTGCCAGTCGTGCAAGGCCGGCGCGGTGGCGACCCTGAAGCGGGACTGGAAGCGCGTCGCCGTCGTCTGCATCGTCTTCCTCGTCTTCATCGTCATCGTCTACTCCCTCGGCTGCTGCGCGTTCAGGAACAACCGGAGGGACAACCGCGGCGCCTATCGCGGTGCCGCGTGGAAGGGCGGATACGCCTGATTTCATTCGATCGATCGATCGATTTGCACGGCGTAATTGATTGGCATGTTCATGCGATCATGTCAGATATCTGTTCATAGGCTTAGCTCTGATATTCTAGCCCTGTACAGGCGAGATTATTCTGGGTTCTGATCATCTGCTTGTTACTCTTTGATCAGGAGTAGTAGGTTTCTGTATGCAGTTCTTTGATGCAACTTAGTTGCACCCTACATCATATTTGTACTCGATCGGATTTATTTCATATATGTAATATAGTATTCCTTTTTATTTGTTTTTCAGTACCGATCTTTCTAAGCTTCATCTTCGAGTACAGCAAATATTTTACCTACGAGAATAGTTAAAAAATCATCGAAATGCTCTTAGATTATTCTACGTTTTGGTTACAAGTTATAGCTAGTACAGTCATGAGTTCTGCAAACTTCTTCAAACGATCATCATCTATCACGTTTACTTTGTAGTAGATGAAAGAAATTAGTACAGGTTTGTTCAGCTAATCGGTGACTGCCAAATTTTGTCTCAGATTGCACACTTATCCCTGGTTTACATGTAATATAGATGTGAAATTTGCAATTTGTGCTACGCAATGCTGCAGGCAAATTGGCAAGGTTCATCACTAAAACTAGTAGGTTGATAGGAAAGAATCTCACAAAGGACAAGACGATGAGAAGGTAATGGCTAGAATTATCGTGCAAGTGAAAGTGAAAGTGAGGATATTTTCAGGGCGTGTTAGGTTCGACTTGTCTCTAACGATGCACCAGCACCACAGCTTTCCTATAATCTCGTCATAGTTGAAACCTTCTTGCTTTTCACTAAATGCAGCATTGGTAGGAAGTTACAAAGTCTTACTAATGCGGTAGTGCCCATTCTTATCTTGTCCTAGTAATGCCAAGACGGTGATGGATTGATGGCTGGTTTGTGTCAAATGTGCTTGCCAGATTATGCTACATGCACAAATAAAAGGACATAAGTTCTATATGTCTCCTTTTGAAGGATAATACTTTCTCCGTTTCACAATCTAAGACTTTCTAGCATTGTCTATATTCATATATATGTTAATGAATCTAGGCATATATACGTGTCTAGATTCATTAACATCTATATGAACATGTGCAATGCTAGAAAGTCTTACATTATGAAACGGAGGGAGTAAGTTGTATATATTTATCAAACTTACTCTGAATAAGTTCCTGAACCATCGGTTGATATATTGTTACTGCGTGTAAATTGTGCTGATGCAGTTTCCAGTAAGAATGCATTCAGAACTACTAGTTGAAAAGCAGGGATTTAAGATATCAGATTTTGATAGGAATGCATATGGAAAACAGATGATGGTAAAACGCATGAAAATTATAGGAATAACCGTTTGAATGGGCTAAAAAAAAGAACAATAATTGCATGAGGAAGATACACTCAAAAGAAATTTTCCAAGAGGTTGACCTCATACTAATTTTCCTCCAAAACCTCCATACATTGAGCCACTCCAAAAGAATTTCATAGGATTTTGATGGGTACAATGATAGGAAATTTTTTATAGCATTTGAGTCATACAAAATTCCTCCACAAAGCCCTGATTCAAAAGGAGGCCTGAACAAGGAATTCGACCGTTTTAACTACGAAATGCTCTATCGGTGACAGGCTGACGGCAGTATTTTCCTTTTACATGGAAGGTTATATCAGTTTTGACAGCAACCTCCAGCAATCTTCGATTCTTCGTCAAGCATCATGTTGAGCATTTTGCCAGATTATCCATTTGTTCATTCAGTCTGGTCAAGGACTCTTGAATCATAAACATTTGCCATGCGATGGAAAGTATGAAAAATACCCAGTTCTCAATTCACAGGCAAGTATGAAAAAATGTCTAAGTATTAGCATTTGCATTACCAGATAACAGTGGTACTGAAAGATTGGTTCCACATTCAACTTTGACGCCTGTACATTCAGGTTCAGTTATCCTTTTGGAATCATTTGACAGGATGGTCAGCCCCTCACTCTTTGCATCATCTGCTTTGCCCCATAGCACAACGTACAACCCAATGATGATTGCAATTGCACCTAATATGCTGCACAAGAGGATACCATTACAACCCAATGATCATTCATGTACACAACAGTACAGACAAAAAAAAGTATTAAAAGCAAGCAGTTGTATAGTGAAGTAGGAACAACATGGATACCCAAATAATAAATGAAATGAGTAAATATATACCTTCCTATATGAAGTTCCTCATGAAGGAAGATGGTAGATAATATTGTTGTAATCACAGCACTCAGTGGTGTAAAGATTGCGCTATAAAGGGGGCCTTTCACTGATATGCACCAGGATTGGAGAAAGAAGTTTGCGCCAGAGGCAAAAACACCCTACAAAAGTTACTCAATCTTGATCACTTTCTGAACGTCCATACCAGTGCAATTCGAACCAATAAGCACATCAGCGCAGGGCACACATTTTCTTTTATATACTTACTCCATATAAAATGCAGGGGAGCTCCCAAATCGAAGCTAGTTTCCAAATCTGTAAGTAGTTTGATTCTAGGAAGAATGCCATCACGGCGCATTGCAAGGTCGCTAAGAAGCACATCCATGTTGCCAGAGACAGTGGATCAAGGTACGATCTGCAAACCGGCACCTAAGATACAGTGAAAGAAAACCCAAAACATTGTTGGTCATCAAATTCATCACTGCTAATTCGGAAACTAAGAAATCCATCTCTTTGCAGAGGAAGAATGGGCAAGTCATAATTTGGCGCAACCTAACAAACCAAGCCTCTTCCTAATGGTTGCAGCACTCACCTGCAAGATGTACCAAATGGAGACGCAGAAAGCATTTCCGATGAGGTAGATGCCTCCTTTCACCCAGTCATCATCGGTGGTCGCCGCGACGAGAACCGCGCCGAGTAGCTTGGGCCCCTTGAAGAACGCCATGGCCATCGCTCCGGCGAGGCAGACGACGGTGCCGGCGATCTTGGCCAAGCTCCTCGAACTCCTCAAATCCACCTTCTCCAACCTGCGCGCGCACGGATGCAATTTGAACGATTAAAACCCTTCAGAATCGCTTAAATAATGGGCCTCAAACGATCCAGCCCAAAACTTCAACTGGGCCGTCGTAGTGGGCCACATGTCATGGTGACACGTGGCAATCCAGCCCAAGAAAGGGGGAGAAATCGGCAACCGGACTAGGGGGCGGCGCCGTCGCCGCCGGAGATGGGGACGATGAAGAAGTGGTACCCGATTACGGCGGCGATGGCGAAGGTAATGCCGGGGGCGAGGTTGGTGGTGGCCCTGGCCATGGACGGCGACGCGAGCTGCAGCCCCAGGAAGTAGAAGTACAGACCCGTCGCGCTGCCGACCAAAATCAACCGGGAGATGAGCGGCCTGCGCCCGATTCGATCCAAGGGTGTGCGTACCAAAATCAGCCACGAAGTAAGTTTCGTGTACCTGGCGAGGGAGGCGGCGAAGAGGAGGGCGAACGCCGGGGCGCCGACGGCCATGTGGCGGCGGAGGTCCCACCCCCTGGCGGCGAGCGAGGCGAGGAGGAGCGTGGCGGCGGCGATCCCCTGGCGGTAGGCGACGAAGACGATGGGGCGCATCCCCATCCCGTACGCCGCCTTGAGCGCCATGTCCACCGCCGCGTAGAACCACTGCACCATCACCATCCCCACGCACGGCCCGTACCGCTCCACCCACCACCACCCTCCGCCGCCGCCGCCGCCCGCCATGGCGAGATCCGCGAGCTCCACTCACCCACCACCACCACCACACAGCTCGCTCGCCAACTAAGCTGGAGCAATCCATCATCCATGTGCAATATTAGTAGTAATTTCGTTTTCGTTCTCTCTGTTTGTTTATGAATTATGATCTCAAATCTTAGCGGTCAAACTGATCACGCTGGCTGGGTTGGATGATTGATTGATTAGCTTTGCTTGCTCGAGTTTTTCTCTCGATTTCCTATTATGGCCGTCGCCGTGGCACCGTGACGCCGTCTCGCCGGCGTGATCTGAAATTTTTTAAGCGAGAATTTCTCTTTGACAATCTCCCCTGGTTTTGGCCGCATTTGGCATCGTACGACCAGCCAAATAGCCAAACGTGACACACAGGCTGACAGCGACGGTGTTTTCGTCCCCACATGACAGTATGACACCATGACCATCATTAATTTCCACCGTATAACACTACTTCTTCCATCCTATTTTCTGTGCACAACTTTAACCGTCCATTTTATTTTAATTTTCATAAGTCACGTATAAAGTAATATTCACAACAATAATTATATTTTTTTTAATGGATGAACGGTTAAAGTTGGGCATAAAAAAAATTTATGGTTACACTTAAAATGAGACGGAGGGAGTATCAATCATACTTCATGATGGCATCGGCAATTCGGCCCCACATCTTTAACAAATCAGGCCATTTGCTGGCCGCTCGAATGTCGGAACAGACAACAGGTAAACTAGTCATAAACAGCAAAACTGCACAGATCTGTCGATCCGTTTTTACTAATCATACAAAATAGTCTAGTGTTGTCGTAATGTGTAAACAATCAGAGCTGCTCGCTTGAGACGGCGTCTGCCAGCAGGAGAGGCTCCTCAGCGGCGGTGCGCTCGACGTCGCGACACGAATCCGTGCATGGCTTCGCCGCCGCCGCCGCCGTCGCCGGCTCGCTGCCCCGCTTCATGTCGTCCGCTTTTCCCCACAGGACGACGTACAACCCGGTGATCACAGCAGCTGCTCCCATCAAGCTGGAAAAAAAAAACAGCGTTTGTATGTGTCATCAGAGTTAGATTCAATTATAAGCCATTGTTAAAATGTACTTCATCCGTACCAAAATATAAGAATTTATTTCCTTCGTCCTAACCTATAAAGAGTTTTGGTTAGATAAGACATATACTAGTACCACGAATCTGGACAAATAGTCAGTCCAAATTTATCGTATTACGATGTATTACATCCAACCAAAACTCCTAATATGAAGGGAGTAGATGAGATGTGAGATAAAGAACATGTATAGAGTGTTCTTATTATTGGGACGGGTGAGGTTTTTTTTTTTTTTTTTTGCGCGTGTCTGTCGTCGAGAGAAGAGAAGAAGCGTGCCTTCCAATGTGCAGCTCCTCCTGGAGAACGGCGGCGGCGACGATGGTGGTGACCACGGTGCAGACAGGGGTGAACATGGCCGAGTAGAGGGGCCCCCTCACCGAGATGCACCATGATTGCAGGTAGAAGCAGACGCCTGACCCAAACACTCCCTGCATTATTTATGTCCAGCTCTGTTCAGTTCAGATCCAGAAAACCAGAACTTGTCCATTCTGCTGTCCGGGCACACACACAACAAAACGCATGGCAATTCTGAACTCACGGCGAAGGCGTAGCTCGAGAGCTCGAAGAGCGAGTGGATCTTCCATGCGTTCGCGTCCGGGACCAGGAAGACGGCGAGCGCTGCGCATTGCAGCGTCGAGAAGAAGCAGGTCCATGCCGACAGAGACAGAGGATCCACATAAAATTTGCAGATTGGCACCTGAAAAATCAAAATATTAGAAAATGATCAAGTCGAAGGTTTTTTTTTAATGACTCGCACGAGACGATGCGAAGTTTATTGATAGAGCAGAAAAAAAATATAAGATTACAATCCTGAAAGATCGTAACCAGAAAAAAGGAAAAAAAATATCGATCAAGTCGAAGTTGTGAATGAAGAACAGATCAAGCTAGCTGGCTACGAAATGCCATTCACTTGTAAAAGAAATTACCTGCAGTATGAGCCGGAGTGACCAGCATGAGCTGCTGACGACGAGGCAGAGCGCGCCGAGAACCCACTTGCTGATCGCCGGCGAGTGGAGGAGCATGTTCAGGTCACCAAGCGTGTAGTTCAGAAGCTTTGGGCCTTTGAAGAACGCCATGGCCGTGGCTCCTCCCACGCAGACTATGGTTCCGGATATCTTGGCCATGGTGCCCCGTTCTCTGACGTTAACTCTTTCCTGCCTGATGATGAGTTAACTGGTTACTACAATTTTGGTAAGATATATTTTGTTTATGCATAATGCGATGTATTTGGTACAATGTGCTACTTTTGCCAAGAAAAGAATTCTTTGATATTAAGAACATATGTGGTTCCCGTCCACAATTTATTACAGTTTACCACATCTAATGTTAGACAAGTTTTTGCTATAGAATCGTTGCTTAGGTTCTACTGTCGTAGCTTTGTGAGGTGGCTTGTGCGACTACGGCCGTGTTTAGTTGTTTTGGCAAAAAAAAAATTTTGACGTATACAGACACCCATTTGAAGTATTAAACGTAGACTAATAACAAAACAAATTACAGACTCCACATGTAAACTGAGACAAATCTATTAAGCCTAATTAATTCATCATTAGTAAATGTTTATTGTAGCACCACATTGTTAAATCATAACGTAACTAGCATGGTGGCCCGCGCAGATTACGCGGCTAGCATCATTATATTTTCTCTCATATAATAGCATATATGTTTTCTTAATGTATTATTCAAATATATTAAAATGACAACGTAATTTTAAATTTTGTACTAACTTTACGAAACTACTAATGTATAATATTCATATTGTATTTTATATACATGCTAGTTATTAATTATTTTTAATATCAAATTTTAGTTATTTGTAAATTATATTCCTATATGGACTCTAGACTCGTCTTTCAATATTTTTTTAATTCTGAATTTTTATTATCTGTAAATTATATTTCTATATAGAGTCTCTTCTTCCAATATTATTTATTTTTAATTCTAATATTTTTATTATTTCTAATTGTATTTCTATGTGGACTCTAAACTTATCTTTTAATATTCTTTAATTTTTAATTTCAAATTTTAGTTACTTCTAAATTGTATTCCTATATTGACTTTAGACTCTTATTCCCTTGTTTTGTTTAAATTCCGAATTTTAGTTATTTGTAAATTATAATTTTATACGGACTCTAAACTCTACTTTTAATTTCATTATATTTATTTCGAATTTTAGTTAATTTTAAATTCCTATATGGACTCTATACTCTACTTCTAATATTCCTTATTTTTAATTCCGAATTTCTATTATTTATTAATATTATTTCTATATGAACTCTATACTCTTCTTCTAATATTCTTTATTTTTAATTCCGAATTTCAGTTATTTATAAATTTTATTTCTATATGGACTCTATACTCTTCTTCTAATATTCTTTATTTTTAATTTCGAATTTTTGTTATTTATAAATTGTATTTCTATATGGACTCTAGTCTCCTCCTCCAATATTTCTTATTTTTTAATTCTGAATTTTAACTATTTTTAAATTGTATTTCTCTATGGACTCTAGTCTCCTCTTCCAATATTCCTTATTTTTTAATTCCGAATTTCAACTCTTTCTAAATTGTATTTCTATATGGACTCTAGTCTCCTCTTCCAATATTCCTTATTTTTTAATTCCGAATTTTAACTATTTCTAAATTGTATTTCTATATAGACTCTGCTTTTCTTTTTCTCCAATTAATGTGGGAATTTTTAGGCTGTGAGAGCGAACGTGGCTCCTTTTTCTATTCCTTTAATAAGTTAATATATTAGGCTCAAAAGATTTGTCCCGTATTTTACATGCAAACTGTACAATTGGATTTTTTTTCCAAATTTAATGATCCATGCATGTGTTCAAACATTTGACGTGACGGAAAAGTTGAAAGTTTGAAGAGAACTAAACACACAGCCTACGTTGACCGCTAACAACACTTGTTTGTATACCAATATTTGTAAACTACTTCTACCTTAATAAAATTGGTCGGAAAACTTTTCGCCTACCCAACGAACAAAAGTTTTAATGAGTTTGACCAAGTGAGACGGTCATTTGGTTGCAGCTACCATTATAACAAGATACTTCCAACAAATTAGGTCCCCTAATTGTTAACTCATAAAAATGTACTCCGTAGCAAATATTTTGAACAATTAGGATCCTAGGCAAGTTTAGCACTTCTTATTGACAAATGGCAACCAAACAGTCCTTAACCCTTTGGTGGCTGTTTTTGAGTTTAGTAGGTACACAGAGAAGGGTATCTGAGAAATGCTATGTTCTGGAAAGAAAAATAAGCAATTTTTTATTGGGAGGTTGACAATGTGAAGTCTTTTATCGCCCACCTTTGCATACGTACAAACCCTGCAGTGGGTTTCACCTTATTTTCTTTTTTCTTTTAAAAAAATATATATTGTACGTAAGTAACCAGACCAACTTATTTTTAAAGACGTACGTAAGACTGGTATTCATTAAACCTTTTGTTTTGAGGGAAAACTACAATAGTGACCAGCTGGACACAATAATGGCCGCTAGTGAACGCGACCGACAGCAACATGCGCGTCTAGATGCCAATTAATGATCACAAAGATACGGAAACAGAGCAACTGACGAGAACGGGCAGACTCGTTTCATATATGATGTTGTTTAAACATTTTTTTATAAAAAAAATATATCATATCTTATTACGTTATACACCCAATAAATATGAATGGCAAAATTCTATCTACATATAAGGAAAAAAACAAACCGGAATACGAAAAGTGCGATCGGATTGAAATTACATTTGAAGAAACACCAATACTCTCTCCGTTCTAAAAAAATAAATCTAGTACTAGATGTGACCATTCTAGTACAACGAATCTGATATATCCAGATTCGTATTATTAGGATGTGCCACATCCAGTACTATGTTGATTTTTAATGGGACGGATGGAGTACATGTTATCTATTTTTTTTAGATTATTTACGACCATTTAGAACACATGCAATGAAATACGGGAAAAAAGCTGCAACCCTCACGAAATTCAGTCAGCTTCGTTAAATTTAAGTTTGATTAAATTTATAAAAAAAATATAGCAATGAAGGAAGTATTAACGAAGGTGAAATGGCACAAGGATGCAAATGAAACAGTATAATTAAGGCTCTCACCCTGCTGACGCTGCCATCAAGAAAGTTATCGCGGGTATCAAATTGGTCATGGCCGTCGCCATGGATGACGAGCCCAGATGCAGCCCTTGGTAGGTCAGGTTCTGGTTTACCGTCGCCCTGTTCGTCAGAATCAATCCAAGATTGTCGAAAACAAGCTCGCAAAATTAACTACTAGCAGGGCTTCGCGCAGATGAGAAATCAAAGCATAAATACTGCAGAGACGTGTACGTACGTGCCCGAGCAAAGCCGTCACAAACACCAAGAACAAGCCTGTCGTCCCAAGGCTCCTCGTCTCCTTCACTTTTGCCCTGGATTTCTCACAAGCACACAAACATGATCAATCGAACAGAGGAGGGTGATGACTACTGACCAGCTAGACATGACCAAATTGATCAATTTAACTAACTATTTAAGTGTATCAATGGTTCAATTGAACAGAAGAGGGTGATGATGATCTGACTGATGATCAGCTAAACATGATCGAAACTGAACAATTTAAGTGTATATATCAATGATTATTGCTATACCTGTTGGCGAGGAGGGTGATGGGGACGAGGACGAGGGTGCCGATGGCCTGGCGGTAGACGACGAAGATCACGGGGCTGACGCCACGGCCGAACATGGCCTTGGCCCAGAGCGTCATGGCCGCGTAGATGCACTGCGCCGCCACCATCGCCGCGCACGGCGTCCACTCCCTCGCCGCGGCCGCGAGCATGAGTGCCATGGTTTGGCTATGGCCTATTGGCCTAGCTCGATCTCGATCCGGCAGCGCAGAATTGATGAGATCGCCGGCGCCGCATACAGATGCAGATGCGCGCGCACAAGACGCTCTGCTCGTGCTCGGCTAGCTGAGCGATCGATCGATCTTGCGGTGGTTTGTTTATATATGAGCTTGTACGCTCGGGCAGTAACGGATCCAGAAAATCCGTTGGTGTTATAACGTATCTATCGGTGTTATAATATATTAATTATGTTTAGATCATACACACCGGTCACCGATCCTAGTACCGTAGATCCGCCCCTGCGCTCGGGGTTGTGGATTGGCTCGGTTCGGTTTCTGCATGTGCGTCAGCGTGTCTCCACGCTGCACGTACTTGTCGTGCTCGAGCGCTTAAGCGGCTGTGTACGCGCGCGCAAGGTGCCAAAGCTAGGTGGGGATGCCAACACCGGAACACAGCGGACAGACGCACTTGGGCTGAGATGGTGGCTGGTAGCCTGGTACACTGGGATAGTGGCACGCACCTCTCTCTTGCGCCTAGCCAGACAGAAAAATACGTCTGAGATTTTTCTCATATTATTATGAGTATTTTCTTTACTTTTTACTAAAGAATTTACTCATGATGATATAGATAAATCTTGCATCCTATGTACCGTATATTTTTTCCACTAGACCAGAAACCATATTGATATGCAAACCTGGATTAGGCCTTTGGACCTAGAGACGAAAACATCGAATTTCCTGCCGGGGAATACATATCCTCTTCCCTGCTCATGCCAAGTGCCAACTATAATGGGTAACATTTTTTCCCATCCCCATCTCTGCTTAAAAAATCATTTAGAACTTAAATCATATGTGTAATTAATAAATCATCCATAATTTATATAATATATTAGTATATATTTATTACTCACATAATAATAATAATAATAATATATTGTTATTTTTCACTAATCGTAGCACGATTAAACCTTTAGACATGTATAATTCGCATAGTATTTAGACCCTTGTGCTTGTTAATCAGGTCTCTATGGGGAATGGAAATGGGGGATAGAGGATCATCCCTGCCTCTGTTAAACCTAATGGGGACAACTTTTACTCTATTTAATTTCCTGTGGAAAATCACTTTGCAAACATCCCCGTCCCTAATGGGAGAATTCTCCACAGGGAATTGGGGAACGGGGGCCATTGCCATTCCTATATAGGTCTGGTTCCTGACCTGGCTAAAAAACCTTATTATCAACCATGGTTTAGAGTGTTGTATGGTGTACTTCTAGTTGGTAAATACCTAAAGTTTAAAAACTATTGCATGTTTTTCAGGTAAAAAAGGTTCAAAGATTATATAATATAACTGAGCGAAAATGTCGTTGGACTGGCTATAGCTAGCAGCTAGCACTAGTTCTCTGTTGTGATGTTGGGAGTTTATCTCCCTCTTGTGAAATTTTTTCCCTCTTCCAGCGATTCGGAAGTTCAATTTATTTTTTTTATGGTTAGATTCTGGATGGCTTGCCTTAGGCACCGATTTGACAAGCCGAGTTTAATTCCAAATTTTTTCTTTAAACTTTCAACTTTTCCATTACATTAAAACTTTTCTACACACACAAACTTTCAACTTTTCCGTCACATCGTTTTAATTTTAATCAAACTTTCAATTTTGATGTGAACTAAACATACCCCTAGTATCACACCCCTAGTATGACAATACTAGTTGGTAAATAAAGCCCGGTATATCGCAACTTAATTTTAGGCCCTTTGCTGGTTGTTCAAGTGTCGATACGAACAAACTATATATCAGTGTCAGGGTACTGTAGTAAACAATCAGCGTTCAGCAGCTGGGTCAAACGCTCGACTCGAGGCGTCTCCCAATAGAGGTTCAGTTGCGACGTCGTCGCGCCGAGAATCCGAGGAGCAAGGCTTCGTCGTCCCCGTGGCCGGCTGTTTCATGTCATCCGCTTTGCCCCACAAGACCACATACAGGCCGGCGATCACAGCAGCTGCCCCCAGCAAGCTGAACAGAAAGAACATCGTTCTCGTGTCAGTCGACAGAATCATATACTCCATCCGTTTTAAAATATAAGTATTTTTGATTCTGATACAGTATGCTCTCTCCGTACTTATAAAGGAAGTTGTTTAGAATAATGTTTAAGTCAAACCTTAGGAATATAAATCATAAATCATTCTCAAGTTGTTGAGTTTGAAAATGCAAAATTTATATGAATAGATTTGTATTGAAAAATACTTTCATAAAATTATACATATATCACTTTTCAATATATATTTTTATAGAAACAAGAAGTCAAAGTTGTGATTTGAAGACCGTGTCGCTGTCCAAAACGACTTCCTTTACGAGTACGGAGGGAGTAATATCTACAAAAGTATGATGTTTTAAATAAAAAAGTTACATATTATGATAATTGTTTAATGATAAATCTAGTAACATCAATTTTACATGATTGATCTTTTCTTTATTTTTTTCTATTAATAGTTAAAGTTATGAATGTTTGACTTATCACTATTTTAAAAATATTTGTATTTTGGGACGAAGGGAGTATCCTTTTCCATTGCTTTTGTCTCATACCTTCCGATGTGCAGCGCCTCTCGGTGAACGGCAGCGGCGACGGCGGTGGTGAGCACCGTGCAGACGGGCGTAAACATGGCCGGGTAGAGAGGCCCCCTCACCGAAGTGCACCACGACTGCAGGTAGAAGTTGACGCCTGAACCAAAGGCTCCCTGCAGCGTCGCACACACTCGTTAACTCTCTGTATAAAATTCATGTCTCGTTTCGCCGGACGCAATCAAATGCACGGTGTTTCTGAACTCACGGCGAAGATGTAGCCGGAGAGTTCGAAGAGCGAGTGGATCTTCCAGGCGTCCAGGTCCGGGGCCAGGAAGACGGCGAGCGCCGCGGATTGCAGGGCCGAGAAGAAGCATGTCCATGCCGAGAGGGACAGAGGATCCGCATACGATTTGCACATTGGCACCTGAAAACAAATTAAGTCGAATTTGTGTCTGAACTCTGAATATTACTGAGCCGAGGTGCAGAGTATTGTGGAGAGAAGCAGTGTAAAAAAAAGGGTATTGTGGAGAGAAGCAGTGTAAAAGAAAAGGAATTTCACAGTTCTTAGAAAGTATATTGAGATACTAAGTTTTACACTAGAAAATACGGTGAAATTATCCTTAAAAAATTACTACCTGAGATATGAGCCAGAGTGACCAGCATGAGCTGCTGGCGACGAGGCAGAGCGCGCCTAGCACCCACTTGCTGCTCGCCATGTTCAGGTCACCGAGCGTGTAGTTCAACAGCTTTGGGCCTTTGAAGAACGCCATGGCCATGGCTCCTCCCACACAGATGATGGTGCCAGATATCTTGGCGATGGTGCCCCGCTCTCTGATGTTAACTCTCTCCTGCTTGTTTGATGAATTAACTAGGTACCTCTTATGATGTTTTCACCTTAGCCTTATAGGAGGTATTACAACTCCTAGCCACTTAACCGGCTAAACCAATCAGAGACGGCAAAAAAATTGCTACATGCATCCTTTATTTTAATATATGATGTTTGAACTGACCAATGTCATACATAAAAGAACAATGGGAGTAATAATCAGCAATGTTGTGTTTTTTCCTAGTCCTTGAAATGTATTAAGAGGCATATGTACCTCGTAGAGTTAATAAAATAGCACTTACCTTTGTTGGTCTACTTATACCCATACATGTATGGATATGCTAGCCAAACGATAATATACCGATTCGATGCAGGAAAGACTCTAGGCTGTGTTCGGGAGGAGGGGTTCCCAGCCCATCCTTCCGGCATGCAAAACGATGTTCACATTAATGTGTGATTAATTAAGTATTAGCTAATTTTTTAAAAAATAGATCAATATGATTTTTTAAGTAACTTTCGTATAAAAACTTTTTTAAAAAAACACAACGTTTAGTAGTTTAAAAAGCATGCGCACGAAAAATAAGGGTGTGGAGTTGGGAACTGCCAGCAAAGAACACAGCCTAAGGGCCCCTTTGAATCGTAGGAATGAAAAAACAGAGGAATAGGAAAAACACAGGATTCTGACAGGAATACAATTGTAAAACAGAGGATTGCAAAACACAGGAAAAACACAGGAATGGCCGTTTGATTGGACCACAGGAAAAACGCAGGAATCAGATGAGAGAGATAGACTCAGAGGAAATGTTCCAAGAGGTTAGACCTCTTGCTAACTTTCCTCCAAAATGTGCATAGGATTACCCATTCCATAGGAATTTTAAAGGATTGGATAGGATTCAATCCTTTGTCTCAAAGGCCTTCGTAGGATTTTTTTTCCATAGGATTAAAATCCTCTAAAATTCCTACATTTTTCCTACAAATCAAAGGGGCCCTAAGTAGGGATATCTCTAGAGCAGATAAGGAATACGAGATCGACTTTGGCAAGGTCGCTAAAGGACCTATCGGGCTTAACCAAGACTACCAAATACCGAGATTATACCTATTACATTTTTGGTAATAGAAAATAAAGATCTATAAATCCCATAAGAATATGGAGGATGAAGGGTATAAATATATGGTCCAGGGGAAGTCGGGGCATCCAAACCTACACCGAACAATTAATCCAACAATCTTCCCCACGATGAATTCAATTACTAGCCATATTTGAGCTATCCATGGAGAAGCCTTAATTTGAGCAATCATCAATCCAATGGACGTGACTACACAGCTAGTGGTAGCTGGTTTAGACACCATCTACCTATATTTCATATACAATTTTCTCTTAAACTACTCATTCAATCTACGATCCGATTACACCGTTGTGTTCGTAACAATTAAATCTTTACATCAAGATCTCACATGTTTATATTTTGATAAAAAATCACAAATTACTTTTATGATATGTCTAAATTACTTTTAGATTTCACTAAGTTACTTCTTAGACATACAAAAGTAAATTCAGTAAAGCTTAAAAGTAATTTACATATATTATAAAAAATAACTTATAATAAAAAGAAAGTAACTTTAATTAATACCTTTTTTCATTGAACAAATTATCATATATATGAATTACTTTTTTAGATTTGATTAAAATACTTCCTATACATTAATAATGCTCTAAGGTGATTAATTTTATTATTGTTTTTAGTTAATTTCATAATTTGTGCTGATTAATTTAATTTCTAGATAGGGTCATGTTTTTATCTCTACATCGGATTTACTTCGAATGACATGCCAAAGTTATATTCGTTTTGTTCTAAGTTACTTCTATATAATATATGTAAATTACTTTTAGACTTTATTGAATTTACTTTTGTATGTCTAATAAGTAACTTAGTGAAATCTAAAAGTAATTTAGACATATCATAAAAGTAATTTGTGATTTTTCATCAAAATATAATCATGTGAGATCTTGTTGTAAAGATTTAATTATTACGAACATAACAGTGTAATAGGATTATAGATCGGATAAGTAATTTAAGAGAAAATTTCATAAGAAGAAAAAAAATGCACAACCTAATAGCAAAAACTACTTGCATGTATGTATGTAACGCTAGTACTTTTCACGTAATTGTCCGCGTCGCTTGTTAAGTCTAAATTGAGATGCCTCTCGAAATAGATTTTGCGCAATCCAATGTATTTGAACAAACCGTCGCGAAAAACCTACATCCTCTTTTCATAGAGAGGGATCGTACCTTTCAGATATAAAAGTAAACTTCGGACAGAGCAATGAGCAGATAAGAGAGCTCTCGCGCAATGAGCAATGAGCTCTCTTCTCTTCTCCACTCTAGGCGGTTTCTTCAGATATGAACTGAGAACTTTGAGTTTCTTGCGTGTGCGTCGACGTGTGCTCTCGTGCGCTTCAGCGGCTGATCGTATTGACTTCGCTATGGTGGGCCCTGGCAGATAGCGGTTCAGCGATAATTAGAGGACGATTTTGCTATATATATTTATCATCAAATTTCTCTCAAAATTTTTCACAGATATAAATACATTGTAATCATAGTGTAATTATAATGTAATTTATATGTAACTTTTTACATAACTTTTATATCGTTAGATTTGTTTCTAGATCCATGCAAGTAAAGGGAGGAAAAAAAATCATAGCTGTGTGTATAGGTGAGGAGATTTCATTACAAGACACCCGCTTCACGGAAAGAGTGTTACTTATAGGTTATATTATATTTAAATATAAGTTACAATATAATTGTCCTATATTTACATCTGACAAATTTTTGAGAGAAAATTTGACAATAAATATATAGCTAGTCATCACTAAAGGCGACGAAGTCCATTAGAGACATACAGACAGTAAAGCCCATTAGAGATGATTAGGAATGGCAAAGGTTCCCCGTCCACCGATTCCCCGTGGTGAATCCTCCCATTAGGAGGTGGGGGTGGTATGAATTATGTCTCCATGGAGGATTAAATGGAGTGAAAACATCCTCCATTGGGTCTAACGGGGGCAGGTTTTGTTCACTGTTCCCTGTCCCCGCTCTCTGTGGAGGCCCATTGTAATATTTTATGTGTTCCATTTCATGTATATATGGTCCATAGAAACAAGCCCAAGACGCAGAGTATATAAAGCCTCTAGAAACCCTAGCCATCTCTTATCCACTCCCTTGTCCCTTCCGCCCCTAGTCTCCACGTGCCGACAGGTCCCAACGCCCGAGCCGCGCCGCCTAGGTCCCAGTGCCACACCGCCATCCCGTTCCCGGCCTCCCAGGTCACAGCGCTGCGCCGTCTCTCCTCAATCTCTATATTGCTCGTACCTCGTCGACCATGTCCGATCTCTTGGTGGCGCCGAGGACGCCGAGGACTCGGCACCGGCCACCGGGCGTCGGCCTCCTCCTCCACCCTCTATTCATCCATTCCGAATTTCTGATCTGTCATGTGGGCTTATTTGTTTTACTGATGGTGGATGCTCATATGAATTTGTGAACTTGTGTTCTTGTAGTCGTTGCTTATGTGCTGAAATTGATGGCTGGAATTGCTATTTTGAGTGTTAATATTTTGTATCAAAATTATTGTTTGATATATGAAATATATTCATGTTGACTATTGACTGTTGAGAAACCTGAGAGCGGGGATGAAGGCTCCACGGGGATAAATTACCCGCACGGAGGCGGTGATGGTGAAAGATGTTGCCTCATTGCATTTCACGGGGGCGGGGGCGGAGAAAATTCTCCTCCACAGAGGCGGGTCTGGTGGTGTAACCTCCGACGGGGAATTCCCCGTTGCCATCTCTAGAGATGACGAAGGCCACCGGGGACAACGAAGAGCACCAAAGGCACTACTAGAAGATGACTTGGTGCGGACAGGGCAACAGACGCATGAGCACTGGCTTGGGTGGGGCGGACTCGGCCAGCGATGGCTCGGCTACGACCAGGAGAGGTGCGGACGGGTTCCGGCGGCCCTCCACCTTCGGCGGCGGCGCGAGGCGGAGCAGGGGCGAGCGTTGCGGCATTGCAACGCCATGGCAGAGCTTTGGGGCGGTTTGGGGTTTGGACGAACGGCGAGTTCTCCGACCAAATTGAGGGGGGGCAGGAGCATCTACGGCGCACGTGGGTTCTGTTTTTCCAGTAAAATAGAAGGGAGAGTCCCCAAGATGGCATGTCCACGGTGACCTCCATGAGCGGAGCTTTGGAGCTCGGGTTTGGCACTGTTATGGCCCAAATCGATGAAATTGATGGGGGAGTTAGTTCCAAGGGGACTAGGAGGAGTCACAGGAGCAAGAATTGCCGAGGAAAGAAGGAACGATGAAGTTCAATGTCGTGGAACAGAGGCAGATTGCGTGCCACCCGCATAGCCGCCGCGCCATTGCATCTCGCCGTGCCACCCGCACGGCCACCACGAGCCCCAGCCGGACGCACCCTACACGGTGTCGCCACGAGCCACTGCAGCCGCCGCCGCGCCACTACGCCTCGCCGTGCCACCCGCATAGCCGCCGCACCCGCGCTGGACCTCCGCTCGCCGCCTCGCCTTGCAGTACCGCCTGCACGGCCGTCGCGCTCGTGGCGGTCCTCCGCACGCCCCCTCGCCTCTCATAGTGACGCCGGAAGGAGGAAGATAGAGAGAGAAAAGAAGAGAGATAGGAAAGCTGACATATGGGCCCAAGGGTATTTTTGATATTTCGCGTGATTTCTCTCCTCTTCAACCGGAAATTTTTATTTTAATGAGCGAATATCCAACGTTTGAGAGTGTCCTCTCAAAAGTCACTTTACGCGGTATCCTACAACTAAAACCACGAAGTCGCGATGTCCTATAGCACATTTGAGAGTGTCTTCCTAAAAGTCACTTCACGCGGTGTCCTACAACTAAAACCACGAAGTCGCGATGTCCTATAGCAAAATTTACCTAACATCTCACATGCAAGTTATATACTAGTCAGGGGCAAATTCAACGTGGGTACATGAGGACTTGAGCCCCCCTACATCCACCGGACCCATTGTTCCCCCTGAGTCCCCCTTTGAGTGGCGGCACCGCGGCGTGCAACGCCAGCGGGCGATGGTGCGTTGGCGCGAGGCCGCGAGGCGATCGAGAGTGGCTCTGCGGCAACCGGCAAGTAGGCGGGCAACGGAGCATCGGAGCGCAGCCGTGACGGAGCGGCCGCGATAGCATCAGTGCAGCAGGCCGGCTGAGCCGCGGGAGCGCGCTGCCCGCAAGGAGGAGCAGCCGTGCAGCAGCAGCGCCGGGGGAGCGAGCAGGTTTGCAGAGAGCAGCAACAACTGGCAGGCCAGCGGGAAGGTTTGTTTTTTGAAAGAGGTTTTTTATCGTCCAATACCTCCACGCGGTACAAAATCGTGGCCATTCATTGGCAGAGCTCCTGCCTTTCGTTAAAAAAAAAACTATTAGACATTCTTGTTGCTTTCTCCTCTCTAATACAATGGCAGAGCTCCTGCCTTTGGTTAAAAAAAAAACTATAAGATAGTTACAGAATAATTATACAATAGTTACATTTGAAAATTATCCATACTAAATACTTTCGAATGTTATATAGTTACATCCAAAATACCATGCTCTCCCTACCAGGAGACATAAATAAAAAAAAAACGTTTGTAGAAGATACAACTGGCTATCAACTTCAAAATCTCCTCTACCCTACTTCTCGGCCGTGTTGCCGGCCTCTAGGAGCGGCTCCGTGATGCCTTCACCCACGTCGAGCTGCGATTCCGACCGCATCGCCGCCTTCTCCACGTCGTGGCTGTGCTCCGGCACACTCCCGCCGCTCTTGCCGCCGCCATCCGCTGCTTTGCCCCACAGCACGATGTACAGCCCGGCAACAATGGCCGTCGCCCCGAACAAGCTGACACAAATTAACCAAATATCTCGTCGTTAGAACAACTCCATTACATGAAATTAGACCAATTGATGGATCGATTTTTCACCTGCCGATGTGCAGCTCCTCGTGGAGGAAGGCGGCGGCGACGACGGTGGCGATGACGGTGCAGAGCGGGTTGAACATGGCGGAGTAGAGAGGGCCCCTGACCGAGATGCACCACGACTGCAGGTAGAACGTCACGCCTGACCCAAACACGCCCTGCGGCAGTGAACATTTATCGAGTTAATTTGTTTGCAACATCACAGTAGAAATGATCACCTGAAGAAGAGGCGATCGAGCGAGCTTATAGCTTACGGCGAAAAGGCAGCATCCGAGCTCGAATAGGGAGTGGATCTTCCAGGCGTTGATGTCCGGCACGAGGAAGGAGACGAGCACCGCCGACTGCAGCGTCGACAGGAAGCACATCCACGCCGACAGCGTCAGGGGATCCATGTACGACTTGCAGATTGGCACCTACAACACATCTTGTCAGGATTATCAGTTCTGGATATATACCAAGATGTACAATTACATCTGAACAAGATTTGGCAATTGGTGGCATGGCTGCATATGGTTGAGTGAGGCGATCGAACTTGGCACCTGCAAGATGAGCCAGAGTGACCAGCAGCAGCTGCTGCAGATGAGGAACAGGGCGCCCATAACCCACTTGCTGCTCGCTGACGAGTGGAGAAGAAAGTTCAGGTCGACGATCAGAGAGGAGGAGTTGAGCAGCCTGGGGCCCTTGAAGAACGCCATGGCCATGGCTCCTCCGACGCAGACGGTGGTGCCGAATATCTTCGCCAAGCTCCTCACTCTCCTGAGGTCCACCTTTTCTAGTCTGTCGGATCAGATCACAGTATCAGATTATCAGTAAGAACACAAAGTAACTGCTTATTCCCTCAAAAAAAAAACAGACTGCTTATGACAGTGTCAGAAAGAGTTTGTTTGTGCGATCATGATACAGTTAAGCAAATGAAAAATCTTGTATGAGTCGCATATTGTCTGTTAACCATAATTGTTTTTCATTATAGTGGTCTAACCGCAATAAACTGTATTATGGATTTTCTAGAATATTTATATTTTGAAAAATCTATAAAGAATCTGCTTATTTGGGGCACAGAAAAAGAATTGCCTTGACAACAAGTAAGTTTTGACCAAAAGTTGTAGTATACTCCTATATGACAAATGGACCAGTGGTCTAATAAAGGCTTCAACATAGGGGTTACCTTAAAATCCCACAAAAAGATGCAAAGAAAATGTAGATTTTTAGACCAGCCCAAGGCATGGGTTTGGACTGGTAACTGGTTCTACCCTATGACTCATTTTACAACAGATTATTGATCGAATTATTGCTCTAGACTACCTATTTAATTATAAAGATAAATAAAATATTTGTAATAAACAAACTTAAAAATAGTTTAAAACTAATAAACTGAGCAATACAGTGAAATTTCTTTTTAAGAAACTGTAGTTTTTTTAAAAAAAAATGTAAAGCAAATAATCTGTTTCAACCATATGATGAATTATCTGAAAATACTAAGCCTCAGATGCCCAGGAGTTGGTAATAAACCAAACACGTGCCTATACAAAACCAAATTTTCTTAGCTATGCTCTGCAAACGGGTGGCTAATATAGACTGATTGCTATGCCACTAGTGGTTTACTTTATTTTTTTTCCAAACAACAGAACATCAGCATTCAGCAACCAGATTCAGGGGAGGCCAATAGAGTCTCCCTAGTCCCTAGTATATTCTTTCTTTCAGGCTGCAGCGACTCTATTCTGGAAACAAGTAGAGACTAATCAATTCTGACACACTTTAATTAAACATGACTAACCCATCATTACGCTCTAATCCTTTGTCTCGAGTGATAACTACGAAATTGATAGCTGGAACCAGTGTTCTCTGCACGAGCAGAAACATGTATGCAGCCTTTGGTTTCTGACAAATTAGTCGGTAACCAAGTACGATGTTTATGACCTGGAAAAGGGTGTGATTCAACGTAGGTCTGCAAAGGCATGTGACAAGGTACGTTCATGCATATGCCATCTCAGGACTTACTTGATTGATTCAATTAGCCACAATCTTTTTTGATTTGTAGCAAAGTTTAAGCTAAAATCGTTGAGAAACCGAAGAGGAGCTTATGTACAAGTAACTTAGAAGAAGAAAGAGACACACGTTTCGCCATCTGATAGCTTTTTTTTTTTCCTAATTAACGCAATCTACTTGCGCTTAGAGATAATTTAATCTGGGCATTTAGCACTTCCCTAATTCGCCTTTTCTTCCCTGAATTTACAGGTCAGAATGATGGCAAATGCTGTTCGATCATGTGCTCTGGTGATTATGTCGATCCGTCCTCTTGTTCCCTCTGCACGTACGTACACAGTAGCTAGCTCGGAGAGAACGCAATTATTGAGTGGTACGATATGCATGTGTTACTTGGTCCCGTTCGTGATTGATGGACACCAACTAATTAAATTTAACCAAATTCTGGAACTAGCTAGAAGGGATCAAGCACAGGATACGCCGTTGCAGAGAGAAGCGAAGAGAACAATGCATGCAGTTTAATTTGCTGTGTTTTACAGTGCATGAACTGACAGAAATTCAGAGAGGTGTATCATCTGTTTGAGAGATGCATGAACTCACCCTACTGACGCTGCCATCACGAAGGTGATCGCGGGTATCAGGTTGCTCATGGCCGTCGCCATCGACGACGATCCCAGATGCAGGCCCTGGTAGTACACGTATTGGTTTACCGTTGCCCTGCAGTCAAACAGAGATCAAACATGGTTAGACTCGTATATCGGAAGAGCAAGTTGATTAATTCTCAGTCGACATTTGATCTTATGATCTTGGCGTGCGCAGGGGATTCAATGTTTCGGATCGTAATTTCCAAAATTTTGGAAATTTCGGGTTACATATTCATTTATTTAATTAAGCACATTTTATTCAAAGTTTAATCAAATTTTGTTTAAATTTCAACTTTTATCAGTCCGAAATTTCCGTGATCTCGGAAAGTTCGTTTCTGTCAATTCCCTCGAAAGAAATGTGCAAACCGGAACCCTGCGCGCCTGCAATTAATTAACAGTTTTTGTGTGATGCTAGCTTGAGCCTTGATTACCCAAAAAGAGAAGCCACGAAGATCAAGGAGAAGCCCGTCATTCCTAGCCTCGTCTCCTTCTTCTTCCTTCTGCAGATCATTTCAGACACCATGCATGAATTAATGAATGAACGTACAAATGAAACTGTCAAGTTTGACAGCTCGAGAGATGTACTCCCTCAGTCGAAAAAACCAACCTAAGAAGTGATGTTTCAGATTCATTATACACATCTTCTTCTAGATTGAGGTTCTGAAAAACAAAAAGGAAATATAAATTGGTTGATGGGTTACCTGTTGGCAATGATGGCTATGGGGACGAGGAAGACGGTGGCGATGGCCTGGCGGTAGACGACGAAGACCATGGTGCTCATGCCCCCGGTGAACACGGCCTTGGCCCAGAGCGCCAGCGCCGCGTAGATGCACTGCGCCGCCACCATCGCCGCGCACGGCTTGTACTCCTCCCATCCGGCCCCCATTGCTGTTGGCTGTGGCTCTCGGCTGACGCCTCCCGCGAGAGGAAGTGGAGCTCAAGTGCGCAGGCGGCCGGCGGCTCACAGCGAGGAGACGGTGGGGGCGGGGCGAGGCGGTTATATACACACGATCGGGTGGACGCCGATTTTGAGGATGTCGCCTCGTTATTTGCATGTCATCTAAATAGTTATTAAAAAAATTTAAAAAAAATTGACAACATAGATTAATATGAAATATATCACTCTACAAGCATGTAAGACTAAATTCAACTTATATAACTTGCAACAAAAATAATAAATTAAACTGAAAATAGTTATCGCACATTCGCAACTATATTTGTTATTTTTGTTATAATTTGTAGAAGTTGAATTTAAACTTGTATATTTGTGTAGTGATATACTTTATATTAATATATGTTGTTAGTTTTTTTATATTTTTTGATAACTATTTGGATGATATGCACAGGGATATCCTCGGGATGAATTCACTTTCCCCGATCGGGTAGTCTCTCTGCATGTGAAAAGCAAACTTGGCTGCAAGTGTCGCTTGCATCTGACGTTGATGACGTTGCCAAGGTGGCTGCGTGTGTGGGGACGTTTGTCCAGGTAAGGTGGTGGTCTAGAAATTTCTGTTCCTTACAGGGTGCACAACGTGCAAAAATACGAACTGTACGTGCATGGATCTCATTTACAGCGGAGGAGCTGGCCTCTGGAGTACAAGCTCTCTGAAGTATCTCAAGGTTTTAAAATTTTACTCTGAAACATTTTTTTAGAAAAATTACGGTCCTTAAAGTACCTCAAGGTACTTAAATTTTACGCTAAAAACTTGGTAACTCAAGATACCTATATCTAGAGGTATCAAAATTTTACACTAAAAAAGATTGATATCTCTTGATATTTTTTTAAAGATTATGGATAATTTTACCACAATTTCCAGTGTAAAATTTAGTACTTCTAAGTACCAAGTCTTTGAGATGTATCAAAAGATATCAAAATTTTTAGTGCAGATTTCCGTACCTCCTAGTACCGAGAGGTATCAAATTTTATAATGAAATGTGGTACCTCCTTAAGAACCGTAAAATCACTCAAAATTTTAGTGTAAAATCTTTTTTACCTCTAGGTATTTTCTCAAGTACGATGGTAAAATTTATTGGATGATAAAATTACCCAAATTTGATACATCGAGATACCTAGTATATAGAGATATTAAGTTTTACGCTAAAAAATATGGTACTTCATAAATTGTTTCTCCTTTTCAGCAATATGTGAACAAAGACAAGTCACTAGAATATAGTTAATTAATTATTAAGTATTATAAACTGAAAAAATAGATTTATCTGATCTTTTTAATAAAACTTTCATATAGAAAGTACTTAAAATACACACGTTAATCGTTTAATTGGGATACATACTCATGATAAACGAGACGTGGCCATTCCAAGAAGCACTTTAGAACTTAGCCTTAAACTCTTTTCAAGAGCTCAATATTTTGATAAGCACCTAGTAAAAATGTGGAAAAGATGGTGTTTTATAGCTCCTGGTTTCTAATTTATTTTATATAATCAAGAACTACTAATTCTTATATTTCATATGAGAAATAATTTTTTTTTCGCGAACGCGCAAAAGGATTGCACGTCAATATATTAGACGAAAAGAGTTTTAGTTACACCACACAATCAGACAGACCAGCTTATGCTAGGGGAAGGGAGAAAAAGCAAAATAAAGAATTGAAGCTAGAGAAACTACGGCGGCTAAGAACAAACTCCAAGCAGCGGGAAGAGGCCTAGCCGCGCTACACTCCCAACAAGTCCCCAAAAACGGCAACGCCAGCTAAAACCACATATGGCTCTCCGAACGAATGGACTCCAGAACCACTGAGACGAAAGAGAGTGCGGAGTCGAAAACCCTAGAATTTCGTTCCTTCCACAACTGCCAAGATACCAGAAGCACCAGGGAGTATAAGCCGGCGCGGAGATGCTCAGGTAAGAAGGCCCTGGAGAATGGCTACCAATTCTGGAACCAGCTGCCATGGGGGAGAGAGGGCAGCCCAGCTAGGAGGCGATAACACCCGGAACCAGACCTGTCGAGCGAACATGTAGTCGAGGAGGATGTGGTTCGCTGTCTCAAGATCCTGAGCGCAAAAAGGACAGGCCGAGTGATTATCGATACCACACTTCTGAAGGAGATCAACCGTCCAGCAGCGCTGCTGGAATGCAAACCAAAGGAAGAACCTGCATTTAGCAGGACCCTTTGCGTACCAGAGAAGATCAACACAGGCAAAGGAATGCTGGCCATAGAAGAATGCCTAGTACGCCGAACGCGTTGAGTAGCACTGGTCTGACGTCCATCGCCAAATGAGACGATCTTCGACCCCCGGCGAGAGCTGTACGTGAAGCACCACATCCCAAATAAGGAGAAACTGGGAGATGACCGGAACAGTGAGGACACCGCGGATGTCAGAGACCCAGGAGTTATTCGCCAGGGCAAAAGCAACCGTGCGCGAACCTCGAAGACGTTGGGGAACGGCGAAGAGGAGATCTGGAGCCAAGGATGCCACCAAGCGGCCATCGATCCATTAATGAGAAATAAAATTATTTGGTGAGTTAGAAATTACGTGAAAAGCCTCGGCCTAAATGCGAACGGCTGTCGTGCTTGCCGGATGGTACAAGACGCCATGGCGACAACAGTCGACAGGTAGGTGGACACTAGTGGTTTCTCCAATGGTCTAGCTCGGAGGCATTCCTGACTACTGAAGTTATTGTATGAGAGCAACATGGACAGATTCCTCCGGCGATGAATCTCTAACAGTGACTATTTGGTAGACGCCCACTGTCCAGCGAATATCGTTGTGCAGCTGTGAGGCTGTCAACTACACGTGTAGGGTTCATTTTCTTTTTTACGAGGACACGTATAGGTTTACTAGATAAAATCTCACACGTTGCTACAGAAATTTTATATAACATTAGTAGAAATAACATGTAAAATAGCTATAGTTTATATAATTTTTATCTCTAATCGACTATGGAAGAAAAAAAGGTTATAAACCATTTGATGTGGTTTGTAACCATTAAAATCATATATAAATTGATGTTTAAAAGAGAAACTAAGATGATGTGACTATGAGAGAAGGAAAAGAAATAATGTAATATAAATTAATCATTTAAAAACAAAACTAAGGTGATGTGACTTTATAAGATATCAATTATCCAATTATGGCTAAAAACAATTAAGATGATATAGCTTAACGGAAAAAATAGAAAAAAGCATTAATTACACTTGGTAAGGATCGATGATCTTTATAAATATATATAGGATTTGAGCCACTGTGTATATAGATCGAGATTAATTGTAAGGATTTTATGTTTCCTTCATTATCCGAGTGGTTAATTTTTGTTTAATGAACATATATGGGGAAAAACCGTATAGTATACTCCCTCGTCTTAAAAAAAAGAAACAAGCACATATATGTTCTAGAATAATAGAATAACTAGCATGGTGGCCCGCGCAGATTGTACGGCTAGCATCATTATATTTTTCTCTCATATAATAGTATATATGTTTTCTCAATGTAATATTTAAATATTAAAATAATAACATAATTTTAAATTTTGTACTAACTTTACGAAACTACTAATGTGTAATATTCATATTGTATTTTATATATGTGCTAGTTATTAATTATTTTTGGTATTAAATTTTAGTTATTTGTAAATTATATTCCTATATGGATTCTAGACTCGTCTTTCAATATTTCTTTTTTTAATTAATTCCGAATTTTCGTTATATGTAAATTATATTTCTATATATACTCTAGGCTCTTCTTCCAATATTATTTATTTTTAATTCTGAATTTTTATTATTTCTAATTGTATTTCTATGTGGACTCGAAACTCATCTTTCAATATTTTTTAATTTATAATTTCGAATTTCAGTTACTTCTAGACTTTTCTTCCCATGTTTTTTTTTAATTTCGAATTTTATTTATTTGTAAATTGTATTTTTATGCAAACTCTAAACTCAACTTTTAATTTTATTATGTTTATTCTGAATTTTAGTTAGTTTTAAATTCCTATATGGACTGTATACTCTACTTCTAATATTCCTTATTTTAATTCTGAATTTCTATTATTTCTTAATTGTATTTCTACATGAACTATATACTCTACTTCCAATATTCATTTTTTTAATTCCGAATTTCTATTATTTCTTAATTGTATTTCTATATGGACTCTATACTCTACTTCTAATATTCCTTGTTTTTAATTCCGAATTTATATTATTTCTTAATTATATTTCTATATGGACTCTAGTCTCGTCTTCCAATATTTTTTATTTTTTAATTCCGAATTTCAACTATTTCTAGATTGTATTTCTATATGGATTCTGTTTTTCTTTTTCTCCGATTAATATGAGAATTTCTAGACCGTGAGAGCGAACGTGGAGGCTCTTTTGTCTATTCCTTTAATAAGTTAATAGATTTGTTATTTGGTCAATCCCTTATGTATCTATCATCCTCTCAATAATCAAGAATTAAGGACCAACTTACTAGTAAGATATACTCCCTCCGTCCCATAATATATATAAAAAAATTTGAAGGGATGTGACATTTCCTAATACTATGAATATGAACAAAGAGTCTGTCTAGATTTATAATAGTAGAAAATATCACATCCCTCTAAAATCTCTTATATTTTAGGATGGAGGGAGTATATTACGCGCAAAGAAGAGACCATATGAATTTGACAATAACAAATACGAACTCTATGTTCTAACTCAAACACTCTACGATTCCATCCACTTGTGACTAACATCTGCTAGTGGTCGGTAAGAACCTAGCTTGGCACTTCTCCTTTTGCCTTTCTAGCAAAAACGTACTGGCTCTGTCCCATTGTCCCATTACAAGTGTAGCCATAATTTTTCATACCCAACTTTGACCGTTTGTCTCATTTAAAAAAATTTTGAAAAAAATTGAGAACATAAGTCACGTATAGAGTACTATTCATATTTTATCATCTTATAACAATAAAAATACTAATTATAAAAAAAATAAATAAGACGGAGGATCAAAATTAAGCAAAAAAATTATGGTTGTGCTTATAATGGG